TAGGAGTTTCCTCATTGGGAGAGGCTCATACTGATAAAATCACAGGTTTGGACAAAAAACCCAACAGACGATAAGCAACCTTCCATATGGGAATCGATGTAGGGAAAAGAGTGTGGGATCTGGGGTCAAGAAAGAACAAAATTAGTAAGCAGGCTATCTTTGCCTTTATCTAAATTATCTTAATTATTGATAAAAAAGCACTAAACTGGGCAGAGCCAAACACAGATCCCTGGGGCACTCCACTAGAGACTCTGGCGGAGGGGACATCAAACCACTAACAATGACTGTTCAGGTTCCTCTATTTAAACAGTTTTAAATTCACCTACCTGTACTGGTATCTAGCCCACCTCTTTCCTGTTTCCCGAGGAACAGCCTGAGAGACTTTATCAATTGTTTTGCTTAAAAACACTGGCTCTGGAGTCAGAAAATCGAGGTTTAAATCCTTCTTCTGATACTTATGGACTGTGTGACCTTGGGCCAGTCCCTTCCCCTATCTGGGCTAAGTCTAGGAACCAATGAGCTAACGATCTAGGTCATGTGTACTGACAGTGTTCCCCTGACCTACCAATCTAATAAACTTGCCAAAAAGGGAGAATTTGGGGGCAGCTAGGTGGCACAGTGGATAGAGCAGCGGCCCCGAGTTCAAATGTGGCCTCAGACCAAATACTTGACACTTACTAGCTGTGTGACCCTGGGCAAGTCACTTACAAAAAAGCAAAAAAAAAAAAGAATTTTGCCAGGAATCCAAGTCAAGCTTAATGGCCTAGAGTTCACAGATACCATTTTCCTTCCTTTGGAAAATCAACATTTGCCTTCTCCAACTGGGTGGCAACTCTCCTCTTCTCCACAGTCTTGCCAAAGACCCCCGCTAGAGACAGCTGCCCTGAAATCCCACCTACCAGTTCTTTCATTACTCTGAGCTATGGATGGAACTCATCTCTATGGGCTATTCTCAAGGTACTCAGTTCAAGATTCATGTCTTAATGTTATTTTCTTTTAAATCACCCATGACCTTTGAACTCCTCGGGGAAAGGCTAGAGAAGTCCCAAAGGTGCAACGTGTCACAAATTGGATTTCTGAAGTCAGATGCCCATAGAAGTAAACGACCATCCAGATATGTAATACTGTCCATAGCTTTCTCTTAGTTTAATGAATAGTAAAACCCCCCACTGAAGGTCAGAAAGCATACTCTCTATCTCAAATCTGAACTCAATCTAGCCTGAGCTAGCTGATCAATTCATGTGACTTCTAAGGGAGGATTAAATGTTCTACGTTCATTTTAATTTGATGTATTATTCCAGGGCTTTGCAAAGAAAACGCACAAAAACAGCATATGCTGCCCTCAGGTTGGCCCTTAGTGGGCCTGCCTAGATTAAGATCATTAGGATTCATATCACCATGCAGCCAGAAACTCAGGAAGTGCCCACTCACGCAAACAATGACACTAGGGGAATATAGGAATCGCTATCTAAGGAAGAAAACCCATTTGTTTACATCTCGATAAATTTCCTCTAGAAGGGCTATGGAAAAATAGGAGAAAAGCTAGATTGTCTTTAGGTTATAAAGGGGGAAGGGGAGAGGAGGAGGAGGAGGAGGAGGGGAGAAGGAGAAGGAGGAGAAGGAGGAGGAGGAGGAGGAGGAGGAGAGACAAGGAGGGAGCTGGATATCTGGAAAATACCAGCTCAGGTCTGAAATGATGATCACAGGGGGGCTGGAAAATATACGGTTTGATTTTTCAATGTTTCTCTATAGATGGCCACACCCAACATCCAGAATTATACTGCCGGAAAAAGGCACTTGGAACAAAAAGGAGGGGGAACTGAGGATGGATGGAAAAAAAACATAAAAATAAATATCCAAATACACACACACACACACACACACACACACACATTCTTTCTCAAGTCTATTTCCTCGAAGAGGAACGGGTTGTTCCTTCACAATAATAATAGATAGTATTTATATAGTGCTTTGAGATTTATAAAGCACCTTATGGATATTACCTCACTTAATCCTCACAACAGCCCTAGGAGATAGGTGCTATCATTATCCCCATTTTACAGATGAGGAAACTGAGGCTGTGAGGGGTTAAGTAACTTGCCCAGGGTCACACAACTAGTAAGTATCTGAGACCAGATTTGAACTCAGGTCTTCTTGACTCCAAATGTAGGATTCTCTTTACTCACTATGCCTTTCTACCTGGTTCTTTACCGATTACATGCATGCTGAACCCTACTGAAAGGAGTCACACAACGAAGCTGAATGGATCCACTATAAATTACGGTGTTGTCCAATCTCAACCAGGCCCTCAACGCCATGAGGCAGTCTTGTGACTCTTTCTCAATTGGCCACCCAGTCCACTCCCCACTACAACTGTTTCAGACCTTCTCTTCTCTCCTCAAATCACTCACACCCTACCCTGTCCTCTCCCTCTCATAGGACCTCATTTCCAGTGTCCCAGGAAATCAAGGCCAATGGTCATGAGGTTCCCTTTTCCCTCACTGCACAACCCAAATCCCTTCAACATCATACCCCATCCTCTCCTCCTCTTCCTCAGTCTCTAACAAAAAGGGACACTTATCCTTGCTAAGTCTTACTATCCCTGCTCCCACCAATATAGCCTTCATTCTATCCCTTCTCATCTCCCCCAGGATTCTGCCCCTTCTGCAATTCCCATCAACCTATAAACATGTCCAAAGCTCTCCCATTATAAAAAACCAGAACAAGTACAAGAACTAACCCTCCACTGGACCTGGTCATTCCCTCAAGCTATGCTTCTATTTTGTCATTCAGTTGTTTCAGTCATGTCTGACCCTTTATGACCCCATTTGTCTTTTTTTTTTTTGGCAAAAGTATTAGAGTGGTTTGCCATTTCCTTCTTCAGGTCATTTTCCAGATGAGGAAACTGAGGCGAACAGGGTGAAGTGACTTTTCCAGGGTCACACAGCTAGGGAGTGTTGGATTTGAACTCAGGTCTTCCTGACTCCACGCCCAATGTTTTATCCACTGAGCCACCAGCTGCCTCTTATGCTTCTATATCTCTCCTCATTTTCACTGCTAAAAAAGCCCATCTATACTCATTGCCTCCACTTCCCTAAATCCCACTCACTTCCCAACCTCTTGCATCTGGCTTTGGCCCACATTGCTAGACAGAAACTGCTCTCTCCAAGGTCACCAACAGTCTCTTAATTGCTGAACCCAATGGTCTTTTCTCAGTCCTCATCCTTCTGAACCATTCTCATTGTTTAACAGGGTTGAGAAACTCCTCCTGAATTCTTTCTTGTCCCTGGTCCTCCTCCTAACTGTCTGACTCCTCCTCCTCAGTCTCCTTTGCTGGATCTTCTTCCAGGTTACACCCTCTAAGTATGAGTATACTAGAGGGCTAGGCCCTGGGCCCTCTTTTCTTCTGTTCTCCCTCTACTATCTCTTGCTTAACGTCATCAGCTCCCATGGGTTCAATCATCTCTGTGCGGATTACTCCTAGACAGACATATCTAGTCGGCATCCCCTTCCTGTCCTCTAGTCCCATGTTACCAAATGTTTGGTAGGCATATCCTCCTGGCTCTATTATGGGTATCTCAAATGCAATACATTTAAAACAGAATTCCCAAGCTATCCTCCCAAATCCCACCCCTCTTACAAACTTCTCCAGCAACATCACAAGTACCACTCACCAGTATCCTTCCAGGGACATGGGTTTACAATGTCAAAGTCATCCTTGCCTCTTTAAATCTCCACTTAGCACCCACCTCAGTTCAAGCCCTTGTGGCCTCTCACCTCCACCATCCTCCCAAATGGCCTCCTTGCCTCCTGTCTCTCCCCTCTCCATCCCATCTTCCACACAGGTGCCAAAATGATATTCCTAAAACACAGGCCCGAATATGTCATTCCCTCACTCAAGATATTTCAGTAGCTTTCTATTGCCTCTAGGATAAATGTTTGGAACATCCAGTCCTTCACAATCTGATCAAGTCCCTCTTCCTAGACTGATTTCCCATTACTCCCCTTCACAGGCAACATTCTAGCCAAACAGATCCAGTCAATGTTTCTCATGCATGGCCTTCCATAACCCATCTCTTCACCTTTGAGTAGACTGGAATGCTCTCTCTCCTCACAGCTGCCTCTTCGAATTCACAGTCTAATCCAAAGCTTAGTTCAACTCCTACTGCCTACATGGAAGGCCTTTTCTGACCCCCTAATTGTCAGGGTTTTTTGCTTCCCCAGATTACTTTATTTTTACTTAATTGTTGCCTAATTACACATGGTTTCCTCCAATAAAATGTAAGATCTTTGAGAGTAGGAATTGTTTCATTCATTGTATTTGTATGCACCTGGGTGAATTGTCCTAGGAAGATTCTGAAGATCATCTGAAAAGGAACTGGACACTGAGGTCCTCTGTCAAGCATTCAGACTCTATTGCAGAGAGCACAACTCCGACGGGCTGGCCACATAGCCTGAATGTTAAATGGTCGTTAGCCTAAAAGACTATTTTAGGGACAACTCCCACAAGACAAGCACTCACATGGAGGTGAGAAGGAGCGATACAAGGACACTCTCCAGGTCTCCCTGAAGAACTTTGGAATCAACTATGAGACATGGAAGACACTGGCACAGCACAAGCCAGTATGGCATGCCTGTATCAAAAAAAGGCTCTGTGCTCTATGAGCAAAGCAGAATTGTAGCAGCTCAAAAGAAACGTGAGATGTGCAAATGTAGAGACACCTCCACTCAAAATGCTCACATGGACTACCTATGCCCAACCTGCGGTAAAACATTCCAAGGTCATAGTGGTGTGATCAGCCACAGTTGGACACACTGTGCCTTGATCCCAACAGAGTGGTGTCATTTTGGTCTTCTTCAAGCATGAAGGACAACAACTATGTGCCTGACACATAGTAGGTGCTTAACGAATGCTTGTCACATTAAACTGAGTCAAGTTGATGAGTTCCTTATATGATATAGGCTTCGGAATTTACAACCCACCTTTAGCCCAGTCCTACCTGGTTGACCTAGAGGTCCAGGAATCCCTGGTGGTCCTGGATGTCCCTGACGGCCAATTCCTGGTGGCCCAGAAGGACCTATAAGTCCAGGCTGTCCAACTGCTCCAGGGTCACCTTCGCAGAAAAAAAGGAAGAAACTCAGTCCTTCTTCATATAGAACAGGTTTAGTTGTTAATAATAAGATTTTTATACAAGACTAATTGACTTGTAGGAGTTATGAATATATCATATACTATCACAAGACCCATGTGCTCAGGCAGAGGCAGGAAGTATACACATATCCTTAGAAAGCTTGCCATTCATGAACCATCAAGGGAAAGGGAGTAGGGAATTAAGTCAGGGACTTGCTCAATGATTTTAGATACTACCTCATTTGATCCTTACAACAACCTTCAGAGACGGGTGTTCTTATGATCCCCATTTTAGAGTTGAGGAAACTGAGGCAGATGGAGGTGAAGCGACTTGCCCAGGGTCCCATAGCTAATGAGTATTTGAGGCCAGATTTGAACTCAGGTCTTCTTGACTCCATGCGTACTGCTCTATCCACTGTGCCACCAGCTGCCTTCAAGAGCAGAGGTAAGCAGCCAGGGCATATGGGTAAGGAGTCAGACATGGCCACCAGGATCTTATGTGGCATATGCCAAGGGCTGGGCCTCCAGATCCAAGTCAGCCTTCTGACTGTCCGCAAGATTTTTTTTTTTATTTTACCCTTCAGGAAGGATATAAAGAATAAATCAACTAAATTCCCATCCTTGTTTCTTCAAAGCCTAGAACTCACTCCAGGCAAAAGGCGTTCTGCAGAGAGGCCTTAGGAGAAATCAGGAGAAAGATGGACAAAGGTGGAATGTCGATCTTTTCAAATATCTCATGATAGGGAACCACAGGCAGGCACATTTCCAGCACATCATACATGACGTTGAAAATAGGTTATTTTGTTACCACCATGTTAGATGAAAAATAATTCCGTTTCATATATGATCCCCGTTAGCGTCCTTCTTTGTCGAGCAGAATGTTTATACGGCGTTTGTTGATGATTGTTCAAAATAAAGTGCATAATAAAAATAAAACTAAGATAGCGGTAAGAATAACTCCCATCCCTCTGACCCCATAAGGTTTATAGAACACTTTCCTTGCAAAGAGCCTCTGAGGGAAATCAGTGTAAACAGAAGAGGAAACTAAGGCTCACAAAGGCAAAGTTGGGGCAGAAAACTGCTGTTGTACATCCACCAAGCTAGACCCCATTTTAGAGTAGCTACAGTGAAAGAAGGAAAGCAGCTGAGCCCCTTTGAAGGGCACGTGAAACAAAGCCCAAGGAATGGGCTGGAGGAAAAAAGCAGGACCTCAAGATGCAACAAGAAGAGAAATAACAGCCCCTAACACAAGGAGACAGAACTGACCCCCAACGTATCACTGAGACACAGTCGGGGGAAGTCCAGGCCTGATGGATGGCCCTGGATGGGTAGACTTCAAGCGAAAGAAGCAGGCCAGGTTAAAAGGGGGAGAGGGGAGTGGCACATAAGGAGGATGTCCTCAGGTGAGGAAAAACAGGAATCAGCCAGAGAAAGCATGGCTGAGAACACTTGGGGCAAGATCAATGGAGGGAAAAGCAGGAACGATTTCCTCGTCATACAGACCATCTGGACAGAAAGAAGAAATAGATGAGGAGTTTGGGAAACAGATTACGAGTCTGGCACAGAAAGCAGCATGAGAGAGTGGCAATGGGGGACTTCCATTATCCAGACATCGACTGGAGCTCTCTCTGTGCCAAAAATGGAGCAACTAAGAACTTCCTAAACTGCCTTAATGATAATATAATACTAACAAGGGGAAATTCTATTCTGGATCCAATTCTCATTAACAGGCAGGAACTGGTTTCTGGGGTGGGTGAAAATGATGGGAACCCCGGAGGGAAGTGACCAAGACATCCTTGAGCTAGTGAGAGAGGAGAAAGTCAGGGTTAGTCTAACACATGGCCCAGATTTGGGGAAAGTACATTGCAAAGGGTTCACAGGAAGGACAGGTGGGATTGGATGGACTAATTCTACAGGGGCGGTCAGCCAAAGAGGGACAGGAGATGCTCAAGAACGAAATTCCAAGGATGTAAAGAGAAATGATTCCAATGAGGAAGAAAAACAGTTGTTGTCTGAAGAGACCAATGGGACACATAGGAAATTGACCAACCAACTTAGATTTAAAAGAGCTGAAGATGGAAAGGAGGGTGAGGGGCAGAGGATGAATACAAAACCAGGATGTTGCATGGTACAGATGGGGTCAAGCCCAGTAAAGCTCAAGATGAGTTTGGGCTGGCAAGGGAAACGAAGAACAATGAAAAGGCCATGGGGCCTAGGGGTAGGGGAAGGGCATGGAGGTTTAAGCCATACTGGAGAAGAGGAGATATACCTACATGACTGGGCAAGGACAAATATCCTGTTTTTCAAAAAAACAGCAAGAGCGAGAGAGAGAGAGAGAGAGAGAGAGAGAGTGCAAACTACAAGCTAGTGAACTTGACTTTAGTTTCTGGGAACATTCTAGAAGGAATTATTAAAGAGGTGGTCAGAAAAGGTCTAGAAAGGGAAGTGGGGATGAGAAAGAGCCAGCAAGGCTTCATTAGGGAACAAGGCATGCTGGACTCACCTTGTTTCTCTTCTTGACACAACTAATAAACTTATAGGGGAAGGGAATGCTGTTGACATCATTTACCTGGGTTTCAGAAAAGCACTGGTCTCTCAAGGCATTTCTGTGGGAATGGTGGAGAAATGTGGGCTAGATGATACTATAGTTAGACAGATTCTAAACCGGTTGAATGAGCGGACTCTAACAAGAGTTATTAGTCATTTGATATCAGCTTGGCAGGAGCTCTCCAGTGGAGTGCCCCAGGGGTTTGGGCTTGGCCCTGGACCGTCTAAGTGTTTCACATCTTTAGCGATGACTTAGGCCAGGATAGATGACATGATTATCAGACACCAAGCTGAGAGGCAGAACAAACCCACCAGGATCCAAAGAAATCTTGAACACAGAGCCAAACCGAATAAGCTTACATTTAATTGGGATAAATGTCAAGTCTTACATTTGGCTTCTCAAAAAATCGACTTTCCAAATATAAGATTGATCAAAAAATCAGTCAATCAATCAATACATGTGTGTTAAGCACCTACTGGGCTGGGGTGGGGGGTGGGGGGAGCAGAGTAGAGAGCAGTTGGCCAAAGATGTAGGGCCGTGTTGCTGCACGCTCAGTGTGAGTTAGCAAGTTGATTGGGTAGCCAAGGGAAGTGCTAGGCTGCAGCAGGGGGTGCGGCTCGCTGACATATGGAGTCCCACTGGACCCTGCCTTGGTCAGATCCCATCTGGAGTCTTCTGTTCAGCTCTAGCCACCACAAGTTAGGAAGGACAGAGATATGGTAGAGGCAGCCAGGATGGCAAAGGGCCTTGAGTTCATGCCATATAAGGATCCTCTGTTTAAGGAGGTGGTCCAGGGCAGACACCTCATCACTTCCCATCTGGCTGCAGGACTTCATCAGTACCCCCTCCTCTTCTACTTTTCCAGCTTCTCTTTATGTGTTATCTTCTCCCATTAGATTATAAGTTCTTGAGGCCAGGGACTGTCTTTTGCGTTCCCAGCACGGTGCCTGACACATAGTAGACACTTAATAAACATTTGCTGACTACTGATGGTTGAAGGAACAGGGGATATTTAGCCTAAAGAAGAGAAGACTTAGGGGGATGTGTTAGGTGTGGTCACATGTATGAAAAGCCCATCATATGAATAAAGTCATCAGACCTGTTCTGTTTGGGCTCCAAAGGCAGAAGCAGGAGCAGTGGGTAGAATTTTTAAGAAGATGAATTTGAGCTTGCTGTCAGGAAGGCTTTCCTGACAATGAGATCTCCCCCAAAGTGGGATGAGCTGCTTCCGGAAGGTGGGCTTCTTCAAGCAGACCATGGATGGCTACTTACTAAGCATGTGGCAGTGGGGATCGGGGATTGGCTGGAACTGATCACCAGTGAAATCCCTTCTAACTCTGATTTTGTGCTCCTATGTTCCTCCAGAGGCACAGGGTAGGTAGGAAGCAGGGGTGTGACCCAGGAGCCTCTCCTTCCTCTATACTATACTGTCTCTTAGTATTCAAGGATTCCTTTGAGAGGACCCTGGATTTCCTGCCTAAGACTGACAAGGAGCCTGGTCAGGTACCCAGAATTTTCAAATAGGCCTCCAGCTCCCTTCTCAAGGTCATGCTATAAATAGATAATACAAGGGAGTTGAAGGGACTGTGGAATTCACAAAAGGAGAAGGTCATTCATTACATGGCTTGTCATTCAGAACGTCTGGATTTGTAACACTGGGATCATAATTCTGCAGCTGGGGGAGCTCATTGAGTATTGCGGGTCATGAAGTCTCGAGCTATTTAAACAAGGAAGGTTAATGAGCAGCTTTAACCAAGAACAGGACGTGGTCTCTGGTTGGGGCCTTCTCTGGCAGCTACGTTGGCTATGTCAGACTTGGGGGCCTCTATGGTATGGGTCAGCCTTGCTTGCTGCAAGGAACTGAGGCCTCCCCTTAGCTTGGGGGCAGAAGAAAAGTAATAACTTGGAATCAATAAAGGCATGTCAAACCAGCTAAATTGTCATTACTCCCCCGAATACCTAGGGGAACCAAGGAGGAGCCATTGTGGTGCACTGTATTCTGGCTTTGGAATGAGAAGGCCAGGGTTTCATTCCTGGCTCTCTCACTTACTCTCTACAAAACCTTGGGCAAGTCACCTCCCAACCTGGGTCTCAGTTTCCCCTTCTGTAGAATAAGGGGGTTGGACTACGTGGCCTCCAAGGTCACTTGTAGCTCTAGATCTAGGATTTGACACATGACCTTGGGCAAGTCCCGTTACTTCCCTGGGCCTCAGTTTCCTCATATGTAAAATGAGATGGTTAGTTAATCCTATAAACATGGATGTGGCAGGAAAGGTAAGCTTCTCAGCTAGTTGGAATGTTCCCCGCATAAATCTCCTTAAGACAAAAAGCTCAGCAAATTAACAAGAAGCAGTAGACTCCATACCTTTTGGTCCAGCCAGCCCATCCAAGCCAGGGAGCCCTGGGATGCCTGGGGGCCCTGGGAAACCAGCACTGCCTTTTGGACCAGGTGTTCCTTTGAGACCTGGGAGTCCCCTGAGCCCAGGTGGCCCAGGCAGGCCAAGCCCTGGCTCTCCCTTGAGAATCAGCACGTGGGAGTGGGGAAGGAAGAAAAGAACAAAGTCAGACATTGTTTCCCTAGCATTTATGCCTTGCCATAGATATGCCAAAGAAAGGTAACCATGCCATTGGTGTCAGACGAGCAAGGGTAATAGGGAACTCTGTCCTTTGATTTCACCGGCATAGAGAGCTCCCAGCAAGGAAATTCCCTCTACTGCCATTTATAGAGGCACTGAGAGGTTATGCCTCAGTTGCTGTCAAAGTCACCTAGCCAGTATGCAGCAGAGGTAAAACTCTGTAGCCGCTATACCAGGCTGTCTCTCAGCAATTACTGGTACTTTTTGTGAGAGAGACAGGAGGGAAGATAATTGGGGTACTGGAGAAAAGAACATGCCCTGGGAGAAAGCCTGGTGTCAGAAGAAGCAGGAGCTAAGTGAGGGGCAGGGGGTACCAACAAAGGGCTTTGCCCTGAGGTTTAGGGCTCTGGGCCAGCTGTTCTACCCTTCCAGAGCATGGAGTAATGATGAAGGAGAGGAAGTTTAGATTCAACATGGGGAAAAACATTTCAACAGCCTGGTCACTTAAACACCACTGTGGTTTAACTTAGGAAGCTGAGAAGGCCTTGGAGATTACTGAAGCTATAATTAGGGGATGGAGATAACATGCTCCAAGAAGTCGGGTTAAACTGTTGTGAAGCCACTTGCAGTGGTATGCAGTGTGTCCACAATGGCGTGGGGAGGGTGGGCCCCAGCATGGGAAGGTCTCAGAAACACATTCATCATCACCCTCCCTCCTCATTAGAAAGCCATCTGGCAAGGGTTCACTGACACGGCCCAGACATCTTTGTTCGTTCATCCAATCAGATAACTGAGGATTCTAACAACAGGCACCAAAGCGCCGTACTTCGGACATGACCACTGGGACAATTTTTAGAGGTTCAAGGGTTGAAAGAAAGGACAACCCCAACATATGTAACAAAGAATAGTGAGGAGGAATCCAAAACAAGTGGAAGAAGAGGAAGCCAAACCTTTGGACCTGGGAAGCCACGATGCCCAGGAGAGCCTTGTAGACCACGTCTTCCAGGTGCCCCAGGGGTTCCCGGAGGCCCCGGCATTCCCTGGTAACCTGAAAAATAGGGAATAACAGATTCCCAAAGGAGAGAATGTTCCAGTTGGTATAAAAAAGAGACCAAGTTCATATGTCTACCCCCTGCCACATACTGGCCCCAACAAGAACAGTACGCTTTCAGGACAAATATGACACTCTATTAGGTAAGGATGCTCACTGGATAGCCCACCCCACTAATATTTTACAATCCAACCGTATCATTCTAGTAACTGTGCTCATGTAACAAAATGGGGGCTACAAATTAGAAATTTGGTTAAGAAAATGACTCAACTGTCTATACACTCTGACCAAGAGATCTGATCCACTGCTAGGCATATATCCCAAGGAGGTCAAAGACAGACACAAAAAAAGGTATTATATCCAGCAGGTACCATGAGAGGCAATGTGACATAGTGGGTAGAAAACCAGCCTTGGAGTTTGGAAGACCTGGCTTCAAGTCCTACTTCTTACATGTCCTGGCTGTGTGAGCCTGGGTAAGTGATTCAACCTGCCACTGAAACTGTAGGGAAAGTGCTAGCCTGCACTGGTAGAAGGTGTCTTCTCACCCAGGAGTTCCCTATGTCAATGATATCATCGGTTCGATGACTATCTAAAATATTTATAGCAGCCCTTTTTGTGGTAGCTGGAAAAAAACTGGAAACAACCTAGATGCTCATTGATCGGGGAATGGCTAAAGCAATTGTGGTACATGAATGTAATGGAATATTCCCACCCTGTGAGAAATAAATGCCAAGAAGCATGGGAAGACTTAGAAGAAATGTTGCAGGGTCAACTAGGCCAAACCAGGGAAACAATATAAGCAATGATGCCATGATGCTGACAATGTAAACAAAAAGAACGAACAAACAAACAAACAAAATCCCCCTGGATGCTGCATCGTTATAACAGTGGAGCTTAGACCCAAAGAAGAGCTATGAGAGCCTCCCTTCTTTGCAGAGGTGAGGAACCAGAAACATGAAGCCCTGTGGCCAATAGCTTGCTTGGTTCTGAGTTGGTTAGTTTTCCCGGACTGTTTTTTCCCTCCATTCTTCCCATTCTTCGTTACAAGGCGTGGCTCTCTGGGTACGGGATGGGGAAGGCATACGTTGAGAAATGAAGGTGATGTCAAACCAAAAAGAAGTGAATTACGTCAACAGGATTTGGAACCATTTCCCCTCCCATTTGAGGCCTGCCTGTGTAAAGAGCTTAACTTCCCACATAACATTCTGGTAAATAAAGCTCAAAAATCAATCTCCCAAATCACACACACACAAATCAAATCTGCTCTCTCCCAAACCCTTTAGGGATACATTTGGGAACTGTTTTCAGCTCAACCACTTCAAGAAAACAAATGCTGTGAGAACACAGAAGAATTTGCAGGCAATTCCTCAAAACAACAGTCCTAAGAAACTCAGAGGAGAAGCAGAGCCAAAAGAAAATATTATTTTCGTTTCTATGTGCAAGAAGTGTGCTTGTCACCCCCCCCCCCTTATCATAGGCCTGTAGATCCATGTCTTGTCAGTGATGGGCCTCAAGAAATTGGCTTCATAAGTACAGGAGGGTTAGACCAGCAGCTTGTCTAAAAGAAATGGGGGAAGTGGGGAAAGGTTTACCACATACCTTTGAGACCTGGTGGTCCAGGAAGACCAATGCCAGGGCTACCTGGTTCCCCTTTACTACCAGGGATTCCTGGTGAGCCTGGCACCCCTGGAAGCCCTGGGTCACCTGGAGAGAAATAAAGGCATTTTAAGAGGGTATCAATGAGACACAATCAATCATCAGGTATTTATTAAGCCTTCACCCAGTGGTAGGCACTGAGGCTACAGAGACAAAAATAGAATAGTCCCTTACCCCCAGGGAGCATATATTCTATTGAGGAACACCTAGCTTACATTCCATTGTGGGATGCCAAAAGGTATAGATGCTGGAGTGACACTGATTTCCCTTCCTACCTGGAAGACCCACATCACCATCCCTGCCGGGTAAGCCAGGCAAGCCAGGAGGCCCTGGCTGGGATATAGTCGGACCTGGATCACCTTTGGCACCTGAAAATGAGAGAGCACTCATATGACTGAGGGTCCGTTGGTTTCTCCCTAAGCGACATTAAATGATCAACAGACACTTTTTAAAATTCCTCAAATACTCAACTGGATGTGATCTAATGAATGTAGGCATTCCCTCTACTGTGCAGATCGCTCCAACCTATGGGACTCTTGTACATGTCCTCCCAACAGTTCCCCAGATCAGGCCTTCCTCCCAGTTCTCCTGACATTGCAAGGATACCAGTGACCCATCAGTTGACCCTCACTTTTGCCACATGACCAGCTCAGTTGCTTTTATAAATTGTACACATTTTGTGTCCCCTCCTTTCTGTTGCTTCTGCCTCTTCCGTTTTTGTACTAGATTGCAGCCTGCTCACAGTCAGCCAACAAGCAATTGCCTACTATGTGGCTAAGTCTTAGAGTTTCAAAGAAAGGTAAAAAGCTGTCCCTGCCTTCAAGAAGCATGTCATAGTCAAATGGGAGAGAGAGGATGCAAACAGCTATATAACACAAACAAGCAGTAGATAGAAGAAACAGTGGAAGTCAGTGGAATTAAGGGAGAATGAAAAAGGCTTCCTGTAAAAGATGGGATTTTAGCTGGAACTTGAAGGAAGCCAGGAGATGGAGATGAGGAGGGAGGAAATCCAGGCATGGAGAATAGCTAGAGAAAATGGCCAGTCAGGAGACAGGGCATCTTGTGCAAGAAACAGCAAAGAGGTCAGTGTCACTGGACTGCAGAGTAACTTGGTGTGTTGTAAGGTATATGAAGACTGAAAAAGTAGAAGGCCAAGTTATGAAGGGATCTGGATGCCAAAGAGAGGATTTTATATTTGATTCTGGAGGTTATGAGGGACCAATGGAGTTTATTGAGGGAGGGGGTGACACTGTCAGACTTGGCTTTAGGAAGATCACTTTGGTGGCTAAATGGAGGATGGATTGGAGGGTGGACGGAATGGAAAATGGAGTGGGGAGAGACTTGAAGTAGTAGGTCACTGCTGATGGCAATGTCAAAGAAGAAAGGTGTGGGGGGGTACATTAAAGATGTTATGAAGGTAGAATTGATAGGTTTGGGTGACATATTGGATGTGAGAGGGATAAGAGATAGTGAGGAGTTGAGAATGACATTTAGGTTGTGAGTCTGAGAACTAGGAGAATAGTGGTGTCCTCGACAGTAACAGGGAAGTCTGGAATAGGGTCTGGTTTAGGGGAAAAAATAATGACCTCTGTTTTGTTTATACTGTTTCAGATGTCTACCTCTCTGCTATACTCTGGGTCAAGGATGGGGAACCTATGGCCTGGAGGCCACCTGTGGCCTTCTAAGGTCCTTGGGTGTGGCCTTTTGACTGAATCCAAATCTCACAGAATAAATCCCCTTAATAAAAGGATTTGTTCTGTAAAACTTGGACTCAGTCAAAAGGCTGCACCCAAGGATCTAACAAGGCCACACTGGCGGAGAGGCTGCAGGTTCCCCACCCCTGCCCTGAGTGATCTCCCACTTCAATCCTTTGTAAACTCCCAGTAATACAACATCATCAAAAGAATAGCGATATTTAAAAGATGGGCTTTTGTTTCAAAAAGAAACTTGAAGTCATTAAAAGAACTTCCCAGTTTCCCAAAGGCTAGCCAGCCCACTCTCCTACTCCTGTTCAATTCCGGGCCAAGGTCATCCACTTTTAGCATCTGTCTAAGATATGTACACTGAAAGGTAACTTCTCTCAGTTAGTCAATGCAATTGCAAATTATAATCTAGATAATAGACATTCTTCATCCATTTGGTTTTTCCCATGTAGATGGTTGAGCCAAATTCTTCATCAGAAATGGGAAAGTTTAGAGGAAGGATTTGGGGGAAAATATAATGAATTTTGTTTTGGAAATGTTGTATTTTAAATGCTTATGAGTCATCCAGGTAAAAGTGTACAGTAGTCAGCTGAAAATATGAGACTCAGAAGAAAGATGAAGGCTGGATATGTAGATCTGGGAGTCATCTGTAGAGAGATGATAGGAGCTGATGACATCACCAAGTGAGACAGTAGAGGGAGAGAAGAGGGCCCAAGACAGAGCTTTGGGGGCTATCCTTGGTTAGCAACCAAGAAGGTAATGATTATCCAGCAAAAGAAAATTAAAACGGCCAGTCAGGAAAGCAGGAAGAGTCCCTAAAGAAAGCAGTGTTCTAAGAGCCTAGGTGGGAGGAGGGAGGAGATGATGACAACACAAAAGGATGAGGGAGGACAAGAAGAATGAGAACAAAGGAATGGTTATTGGGTTGAGCAGGTCAGAGATCAAAGATAACCTTGGAAAAGGGAGTTTCAATCAAGATTTCAAGAGACTTAGGGGTGGAAGAAACAGACTAGACAACCCTTTCTAGGAGTTTGGCTCTGAAAGGCAGAAGTGATCTAGGATAAGACCTTGAGGGAATGGCAGTCATGAAGGCAATGGAAGATAGTGACTAAAATACCAGCAAAAAGGCTATAATTATGAACTCAAAAAAGTATTCACTATAACCATGTCTAACTTTTAACAAGATTCAAGGTTCAACATTTGGGAAATTATAAATAAATCATATTAACAACTGAAATAAGAATTACATGATGATATCAGTAGCTGCAGACAAAGTCTTTGAAAAAATACAGCACTCATACATTAAAAGAAAAAAAGCTTAGGTATGGAAGGACCTTCCATTCATATGAGAAACAATACCTATATGAAATAAAAGCTAGCACTATTTGTGAAAAAGAAACGTAAGAAATTTTCCCATTAAGAAGGAGGATAAAGCAAGGATGTCTAGTGTCTCGGCTCTAATTTGACACAGTGATAGAAATGCCAACTACAACAATTAGATACACAAAAGAAATTAAGGGAATAACATAGGTTATGGGGAGGCAAAAGCATTCAAAACAACATGATGGTTTACTTAGAAAATCCTGGAGATTCAACAACAAAAAAAATCAATCCAAACAATTAACAGCTTCAGTAAAATAGCAGAATTCAAAATAAACCCACAGAATAACCAGATGTTCTGTATATTACTAATAAAAAGCAGAAACAGGGAGAAAAGTGCTTTCAAAGTAACTACGAAATACATAAAATATTTGGAAGTTAATTTAATGAAACACACTCCAGACTTATATGCTTACAACTACAAAACACTTTCCACAGAAATAAAGGCTTAAAAAATTGGAGTGATATGCTATACCTACAGGGGTTCATTTATAAGACTAGACCAAATAACAACAAAGCTCATCTGGTGGAGGTCAATAATCTCAATGGAAACAATGAAAAAAGTTAGAAGAAAGCAAAGCTGGCATTACCAGATCTCAAACTACATCAAGTAGTAATCATTAAAACTCTTTGGTACTAGGTAGGACACAGAAAAGTTGATCAATAGAATAGACTAGGTAAGCAAGATCCAAAAACAACTGAACATGGTAGCTTATGGTTCATTAAATCCCAAAACATAACTTTTGGGGTAAGCACTCCCTATTTAACCAGAACAGCTGGGAAAACTAGAATGGAGTTTGGCAAAAATTAGGTTCTGACCAACATTACACCACGTCCCACAATTAAGCTCCAGATGGATATGGGACTTCAATATGACTGGTCACATAAAAAAAAAATCAGAGGAGAATGGAAAGTGGTACCTTTCAGAACTACGGTTTTTCAGAAAGTCCAAAATTAAACAAGGGGCCGTGGTTACAAAAGATAAAATGCACAATTTTGATGATATAAAATGCTGAAAGTTTTTGCACAAATTAAATCAAAGTAATTAGACTAAGAAGAGAAAGGTCTATTAGGGGAAAGTCTTCGTATAAAAGTCTGATATTCGAGATATAATACAGAATATACTAATATAAATATGTGAGGTTAAGTTCCATTCTCCAATAGATAATTGATGAAATTATTTTTCAATGATCTGAAATGATGACAAATGAATTTCCAAAAAACCCCACAAACTACCAAAAACCATATGAACAATACTCCACTAACAATAAATACATATTAAAGTAACTCTAAGGTTTTACCTTGCACCCAAAAAATGACAACAAAAGATGGAAATAATCAATGTTGGAGGAACTATGGGAAGACGGTAACACTGAAACATTGTTAATGGAGCTGAATTGGTCCAACTATTCTCAAAAACAATACGGATCAATGTAAGAAAAGGGACTAAATTGTTCATATCCTCTGACTCAGATATACAACTACTGGGTATGTACCCTAGAGAAGTCAATGACAAAGGGAAAGTTCTCAAATACAGCAAAATATCATTGTAGTCTTTCTATGGTAGTTTAAAAAAAAAAAGCTAGATTTAAAATAGGTGTCCATTAATGAAAAATAGCTAAACAAATTGTGACATATGAATGTAATACAATATTATTATACTCTAAGAAACAATGAATATGAAGAATACAGAAAAGTATGGGAAGTTTTATATGAACAGATACATAGTGAAATAAACAGAACTAAGAAAACAATATACCCAAAGACTACAATAATGAAAACAAAGAGAATACTAAAAGGAAGTCAAACTCTGAGCAATTATGATGATAAATACTGGATCTGAAGAATAGCCTAATCAAATGAAACGCTCTCTTTTTTGGTAGAGAAGTAGGAGTGGGATGTTGCCTACATTCTCAGACAAAGTCACTGTGCTTTTCTCTGTTACAAGACCAACCTTCTCACTGCCTATGCTATTTCTTTGATTTCTTTTTTGCGTCTAATTGCTGTAACTGGCATTTTTTCTTTTGAGAGAGATTCAAAATAGGTCGGGGGGGGAAAGTAATAATCAGAAATGACCTTAATATAAAATGAGATATCAATGAAACTAAATTTTCTGAAAAAGAGAGAAAAATATACACAATTACCATAACAATGTAAAGGAAATCAATATTAAAAGATATTTGAATTTAGATCAATGTAAGAGCCAACCTCCATACCAGAGGATTGATGTTGAAACATGCTTGCCTCCTCTTGGGAGGTGAGGGACTACAGGTGTCAATGAATTGGTTTGTTCTGCTTTACTCTACTTCTTTGTTACAGGGGAGAGATATATTGGGGGCAGTTACTGATAAATGACAGTGATGAAAAAAATAGCATCAATAAAACATGTTTTAAAAAAGATCATTAAGCAGTAGCACATCATAGAAGGGTGAAGAGTGGTGGAAAGGAAGATAAAGCTGCAGGAAGCTTGGCTTGAGACCAAACTAGGCCACATCATCCCAAGGGCGTTTAGAGATGAAACTGGAAGGACAACAGACACACCAAAATGGAACAGATTTGTTAGCATTTCTATAACAAACTATTTTCATCATCAACAACAGTGGAATCACCACATTTGGACTCGAACTCCTCGGCTCCCAACATGCCATATGCGAAAGTGGAAATGACACTAAAGACAATTAAAAAAAAAAGAGGAAAGCAGCTGTACCAGACCCAGAATGCCCAGAATAAACCCCTGCTGGAGGTGACACAATTTTGAAAGCATCGGAAGGATCGATTCTCAAGATATCTGAAAGAGGAGAAGATATCAAATGGCTGAGAAAAATAATCGCAGAGAGTGTTATTTCCAAAATAAAAAGGCAAGTGAAGGGAAATCAATAAATACTGACCCATATGCCTACTTCCTTATGTCCATAATATCTTTGTGAGAATTACTCTTTTGGCACTTGGCACTCCTGCCTCTGATAATTTACTATCTGTGCGACCTTGAGCATGCCCCTCTCTGGGCCTGAGTTTCTTCATAGGTACAATAAGGAGGTCAGTCGCTGAGATTGTGTCTAGCTCTAGATCCGAGATCTTCTCATTCTTTCATCTACATACAACACCAACGGGATCTTTGATGTAAATAAGAAGGGAACAAGTAAGCAAGCTTTTGCAAATGATTTTATTCAGCGGAGAACATCTTCACACTCACACAACTGAATAAGAGGTAGAGAGAATATAAGATTTATCGTTTGTTGTTTGTTGAGTCTAAGAAACAGTCGGTGTTGCAGAGCAAAAAGCAGTCTTCAAGGCCAAGATGCCACCTGTGCCGATAAAGCTTATACAAGATTCCTTGGGAGATGCAGCCATAGAAAGAGAACTTTGTTCAATGATCCTCAGCTCATTGGTATCACACAATGCACAGAAAACAGGATGATGTAGACTTGCCAAACATGCCTTTCACAGCTGAGGAAGATTTCCAGGGCAAAGTACAAATGGAAGAAAGATACCCAATAAAGGAATCTTTATTCCTCTCTCAGATCCACTCCTGACTTTCCGGACTTGCTCCACCATTCCCCCAGATCTCCTTACCCTGGGAGTCCATCGCACCGCACCCTTGGCCTCCTCACACTGGAAACACACTTGGTCCCTACCTCTCTGGGCTCCACTCCTGACTCGATGTAAGCTCCATGAGGGCAGGAACTGTCCTTCTTCTGCTTGTATTTGTATTCCCAGTACTTAGTACAATGCTGAACACACAGTAGGTGCTTAATAAGTACCTGTTTATTTGTTGACCTACAAATGAAGTCCTCCAAATGCTCCTACCTGTGGATGATGTGTTGCTTGCAACAAACACCAGAATATTACAAACCTTTTTTGATGAAGATCAGAACCACTCAAAAGAGATCGGCCTAACAATCCACATAGGAAAAACCAAATGGATTAAGAATGGCAACAACCCAGACTGGCACATAGGTAGCCAGGCAGCCCATTGAGTTAGACCATAAATAAATGATGAATGAGTGAATGATATACCTCTTATAAAGTTCTTACTATGTGCCAGGCACTGTGCTAAGTGTTGAAGATACAAATACAAGAAAGAAAAATAGTCTGTTCCCTTAAGGAACTTACATTAAAATAAAGGAAGATAACACATAAAAGGGACAGGAGGAGGGTATGGTGGCATGACTTTACAATGTTATTAAAATTAAAATTGTTCTGGTTCACCTCACTTCGCTCTGCTTCAGTTCATATAAGTCTTCCCAATCTTCTCTGAAACTCTCCCTCTTTCATCATTCCTTCTATTTCATTAGTATTCCATTACATTTGCATGCCATCGTTTGTTTAGCCATTCCCCAGTGCACGGACATCTCCATAGTCTCCAGTTCTTTGTAATTGCAAAAAGAGCTGTTATAAATATTTTAGTACATTTGGGTCCTTTTCCTCTTTCTTTAATTTCTTTTTGGTCTAAGCCTAACAGTGCTATCACTGAGTTAAAGGGTATGCCCAATTTAGTGACTTTGGGAGCCTAGTTCCAAACTGCTTTCCAGAATGGCAGGACCAATTCTCAATAGTGCGTTTTTTCCATATATGTTTATTGATAGCTTAGATTTCTTCTTATGAAAAACTGCCTGTTCATATCCTTTGTCTGGGAAGTGGTGTAGAAGCCTGATTTTGGGCAAGGGAAGATGAGAGCTCACCTATCAGTGTTTCAGGACTCAGAGACAGGCCAAATGTATGTAAAATATACATACACACGTGTGTGTATATGTGTGTGCTGAGAAAGAAAGAGACAAAGACAGAGAAAAAGAGACAAGGAGAGAGAGAGTGAAAGAGGAGAAAGGGAGAGAAGGAGAGAGAGTGCTTGAATGGGCACTGTAGCTAGACAGTGAGTTCAGCCCAGAACTGAACAGGAGGAAAAGAGTCAGCTGGAGTGTCTTTGGGAAATGGCAGTGTCTTCAGTGATCCCAAGCTGATCTCACATGGAAATGTCTCTCTTTAACACAAGTATTATTCACTGATGCTTTATGGTTGCCGTGAATTAAGGAACAGCACAATCACATAAGAATTGAAATTGTGGGTGATCCGAAGGATAGGGGAGACATTTATGGCAGATGTAAGCTGCTAGGGTATGTTGCCAACAAGGAGTGGCACACAAGAAGCAAGAGATGTCACTCAAGAAATGTAGGTTTGCACGCATGCCCTTTGATGTAGCGATTCCATTACTGGGTCTGTATCCAAAAAGAGGTTAAAAAAAAGGAAAAGAACCTATATGTACAAAAATATTTATAGCAGCTCTTTTCTGGGGGCAAAGAATTGGAAATTGAGGGGATGTTCATCAATTGGGGAACGGCTGATTGTGTGGTATGTGATTGTGATGGAATACTATTGTACTACAAGAAATGATGAGCAAGATGCTCTCAGAAAAACCTGAAAAGACTTGCATGAACTGATGCAAAGTGAAATGTACTGTGCACAAAGTAACAGCAATAGTGTAAGATGATCAGCTGTGAATGACTTAGCTTTCTCAACAATACAGTGACCCAAGACCACTCTGAAGGACTTAGGATGAAAAATGCTATCCATCCCCAGAGAAAGAACTGATGGTGTCTGAATACAGATTGAAGCATGTTTTTTTTTTAACTTTCTTTATTTTTCTTCAGGTTTTCTTCTGGTCTATGTTTTCTTTCATAACATGACTATTATGGAAATATGTTTTGCATGACTACACATGTATATGTACCAAAAAAAAAAATGCAGGTTTGGAAAAGGAAGTGAACTGGTCCTATTTTGAAGGAGGAGTTAAACAGATAAACAATAGCCCAGAGATTGCCCTGGTCTCTATGGAATGTGAAAAGACCTGTGGAAGAGCTTCTAGCACATTGAGTAGAGCCATCATGAAGGGTTGATGGGAAGATGGAGGAATGAATTGCCCACCATGAAAAGGCGCAGATAGACCATGATTCGACCCACTGGAGGGAGTTGTCCCATCAGTGAGATCCTAAATAAACTGAAGCCTTTGGCAGCGCCAAGGTAAAACCTGACTGAACTTACCTGAGACTCCTGGAGGACCTGGATTTCCTGCCATGCCTTGCATGCCTTTTTCACCCACAGGGCCTGGTGGGCCCAAACCAGGAGGACCCATGGGCCCTCTGTTCCCAGGGAGACCTGGCAAACCTGGCTTCCCAGGGAGACCTCTTTCACCTTTTAAAGCAAAGCCACCCTGAAAAGGGAAAGATAGAAAATGGAAACAAAAAGCCTTACTGGTCAGAGCCACCAGGACAGAGCTGACTCCAAAGGAACAGTGGGCCCCAGCATCGTTCCCACTAAGCTGTCCATATGCTGTCCTTACCTCTACACATTATAAGCTAACCCAATGCACACATCTGTCCTACTCCGTGGGATCCCAGGCCTAGCAATTTCAGCGCAACCTTTCCCAACTTCTCCTATACTTTATCCTGGTCTTTCCCCATTCCCCAAACCTCAGATAACCTTAATGCCCTATAGCTGTCCCAAACCCACCATGACAACATCCTCCCCAAAGCCCTGTAGGAAGACAACAGAATCATAGACTTAGAAATCATCAAATATAATCTGCTCATTTTCCAGAGGAGGAAACTGAGCCCCGGAAAGGGGAAGGGACTTGTCTATGGTCACACATAGGACCCTAAATCTAGAGCTGAAAGGGATCTTAGTGGCCACCCAGTCCAACCCCTTCATTTACACAAGGGGAAACTAAGGCCCAGGGAGGGGCCTTGTCCAAGGTCATATAGGTAGGTAGTGTGAAAGATGGGATTTTAACCTAGGTCCTTTGAGTCCAGAACCAGGGGTCATTCAGTCATTCGCATAAGTAGCAAGTGGCATGTCCAGGTCCCATGGACTCCAAATCCAGTGCTTTCTCCCCTGTGTCACACTGCCTCTCATCCCCACCGCTACAAAATGACCACAACCCATTTTCTCCCACCATTCCAAACTCCCATTCCTCAGCTAAATGGCAGGAAAGCAAGCTGATTAAATTAATTCACACCAAGCTGTGAATGACTAACAACCCTGAACTATCCCATGGTGTTTGCTAGTTAATAAAAATTAATGTCTAGTTGGAGAAATGGGGTGCGTGTGTGTGGGGGGGGGAGGGGTGGAATATACAGGCTACTCTCTCCAATCCCATCCCTCACTTTACTTCTTCTATGCGGCAGAGGAAGGTGAGGTTGGGTTGCCAGCCACCTTCCCAGATGGGGATATCACCCGGCCCTCCACTCCCTGCATGGTTATGCCTGTGGCTCAATGACATCTACTTCCCTCAGCAGTCCCATCGAAGGTGGAGGGAGCTGCCCCACCCAAAGCCAAGGGTGGCTCGGGTCTCTACCCACCTGGAGGGGCTCCCAACAGGCGACAGGTTGGCATACCTCTTAGCCAGAAGCTAAGACCCCTGTGCCATGGGCAGGCTCATCTCAAAGAGATAAAGGTCTAGGCATCCCGAGTTAGTGGTCTAGGACTTCAGGCTCCATCCATTCCCCTTATCATTTGGTCCAACTGACCTGAGAATTGCTTTCTTTGACTACATTAACGGAGTCATAATTATAATCATTTACATGAACAGCTTGTCATTTATGTCTAATTACCCTGCAGCGCAAAACAATTATGCATATCATGAAATAGGTGTCAGATTAACTTTGTTATAAATCTGATTTGGGGATAACACTAAAATCTGCTCGTCTATGTTCAATATTCATAGTTTACAGGATCCGAGATCCAGAGCCAGAAGTGACCTCAGTGCCAAGTTAGTAAAGCCATCTTCATTTTACAGGTGAGGAAACTGAGGCCCGGAGAGATGAAGTGACTTTCAACAAGGTCCTACAGCTGAATACCCTGCGTCGCAATCTCACCATGATGAAGACTCCAGGCTTGTCTCTGTCATTTATTAAAGGTGTAGGGGTGGGCCCAGTACCCCAAATGAGAAAAAGAACCTCCCACTGACCCGCAGTAACTCCAGATGGAAGAGGTGTCTTAACAGTCTCTGTCAATCTCCTACTTTGACTTATGAGTCCATCCTTTTAAGAACTAGGGGTCTGTTCTTAAGCACAGCTAGGAGGCCCAGTGGATAGAACATCTGACCTAAAGTCAAGAAGATCTGAGTTCAAGGGGCAGCTAAGTGGTGCAGTGGATAGAGCTCTAGCCTTGGAGTCAGGAGCACCTGAGTTCAAATCTGGCCTCAGACACTTGATATTTACTAGCTGTGTGACCCTGGGCAAGTCACTTAACCCCATTGCCTAGCCAAAAAGCAAAAAACAAACAAACAAAAACAAAAACAAAAAAAAGAAGATCAGAGTTCAAATCCAGCCTCAGATGCTTATTGTTATATGACCTTGGGCAAGTCCCTTCCCCTCCCTGGACCTCAGTTTCCTCATCTGTAAAATGGGGATCATAACTGCGCCTACCTTCCAGGGTTATTGTCAGGATTAGATGAACTAACAGTTGTAAAGCATTTATCACAGTGCCTGGCACATAGTAAGCACTACAGAAATGTTGGCTACTATTAGTATTATCATTATTATAGTCTGTGTCAGCATCAGCCTGAATCTCTGTTCTGGCTTAAGAAAAATCCTTAACTATCAATCTGCAGAGAAAGAAAAGCAATAATGAATTAACTCACAGGTTTTCCTTTGAGGCCAGGAAGCCCAGGCAATCCATCTTGTCCTGGAGTGCCAGGCAAACCAGGAATCCCTGGAGCCCCTGGGGAACCAGCATCTCCTTTGTCACCCTTCATTTCTGGGAAAGTGAGGGTGTCCCCTGGACTTCCTTTTGGACCTGGTAATCCTGAGGTACCTGGAACTCCTGGAAGGCCCTGAGACCCAAAAAGAGAAAAAAAAATGCTGTTTTCCCTTCACCTTCTCAGAGGCAACGGATATGTTTACTGTGTACAGAGCCTTGTGAGAGGCTATGTCTGAGCGGCAGGGGGCTAGGGATGAGGAATACTGCATACACTCTAAGATCTGCTAGCTGTGTTATTTTGTTTGGTTAAACTGGTTCTTTTTCTTTTCTTTTTCATTCCTTATTACAAGGGATGACTTTCTAAGTGGTAGGAGAAACAAACTGGGAAATAAAAATGAAGACAAACAAGAGAACTTTTTTTTTTAAGAGGCACTGCCTCGGAATGGCTGGTTCAGAGTAATCAATTAAGAAATGCTTGGTGAGTGATTGATTTCAACTCATTTAAAAGCTCCACCTTTAAAATACGCTTTGACATGTGAATCCCCCCCCCCCACCCCTTCTGAAACAGGAATCATTTCCTCTACCCGTTTTCCCTGCAATGTGTGTGATACTTACTGGTGATCCTACCGGCCAGTGGCACCGACATTTCCTTTGGCGCCTTTCTGCCCAGGGAAACCACGAGCTCCTGACAGGCACACACACATACAAAGAGAATTGCATGTCGGCAGGGCCTTTGGCAGCCCATGAGTCCACCCCCCCACCCCCATTTTACAGAGGAGGAAACTGAGGCCCAGGGAGGGGAAGGGACTTGCCCAGGGTCACAAGAACAGGAAATGCTCAAGGCATCTTACCACCATCCCATATAGTTTGGAAAAAGAGTCCCTATTTTAGCAGAGACTTAATTTTCACATAAATAATCATTTCTGCTTCTTGAAATCAGGGTCACATCCTTCTGAGGCAAGCACAAAGTCCCCGCGTACATGACAAACACATGGGTTTGTTCATTAGGCTGCTATTCATTCCTCGAGGATTCGTGCCCACCAAGGATGAGACAATTTGTGCAGTACATATAGTAGCCAACAGCCATCCCCTCTTAGGAAAGAGAGCAGCATAAGCACATCCCAGCCGCTATTCTGGACAGCTGCGCATTCTCTGGCCTTTGCCCTTCCTGCTGTTGGTTTGACACTCTGCTTTGGCTTAGGAGAGGTCTTGACGGGAAAGAGCAGAAGCAGCAAGATTGGAAGGTGGAGGGTGGAGGAAGAGGAAGCTAGGAAGGCATTGCCTCTATCTGGCAGCTAAAATGAAAGCTTCTTTGAAAGCCGGCTTCACAAAGACACTGTTGCCCAGTGGCTAGAGAGCAATTTGCAAGATCTGGGCCAAGTCCAGCCTCTGCCCCACACTGGCTGCCTGGCTCTGGACAAGTTCCAAAGACTCCCACTGCCACAGGTAACTCTATGTAAGATGTCAAGGTTGGGAGCAGGTGCTGATCTGGATGACCCTAGACCAGGACCTCGCCTGTCAGTGCTGGCCCAGGTAACTCTCTGAACCCTCGCTAAGGTGTAGAGCAGGTGCCAGCTTGCACTGGGAGAAGGAAGGAAGGAAAGAAGAAAGAAGAAAGGGATGGAAGAAGGAAGAAAGAAAGAGAAAGGAAGGAAGAATGAACAAACAAAAGAAGGGAAAGAAAAAGAAAGGAAGGAAGGAAGGAAGGAAGGAAGGAAGGAAGGAAGGAAGGAAGGAAGGAAGGAAGGAAGGAAGGAAGGAAGGAAGGAAGGAAGAGAAAAAGAGAGAGGTAGGAAAGAAGGAAGGAGAGAGGGAGGGAGGGAAGGAAGGGATGAGGAGGGAGGGAGGAAGAAAGAAAGAGAAAGGAAGGAAGAATGAGCAAACAAAAGGGAAAGAAAGAAAGAAAGAAAGAAAGAAAGAAAGAAAGAAAGAAAGAAAGAAAGAAAGAAAGAAAGAAAGAAGGAAGGAAGGAAGGGGAAGGAGGGGGGAGGGAGGGAAGGAGGGGGCAGGGAGGGAAGAAGGGAAGGAAAAGAAAGAAGGGAGGGAGGGAAGGAAGGAAAAAAGGAAGGGGAAGGAAGGAAGGAGGGAAGAAAGAGAAAAAGAGAGAGGTAGGAAAGAAGGAAGGAGAGAGGGAGGGAAGGGAGGAAGGGATGAGGAGGGAAGGAGGAAGAAAGAAAGAGAAAGGAAGGAAGGAAGAAAGGAAAGAACAAAGAAGGAAAGAGAAAACAGAGAGGAAGGGAGGGAGGAATGGGGAGAGAGGGAGGAAGAAAGAAAGAAAGAAAGAAAGAAAGAAAGAAAGAAAGAAAGAAAGAAAGAAAGAAAGAAAGAAAGAAAGAAAGAAAGAAGAAGGAAGGAACAAAGGAAGGGAAAGAAAGAAAGAGAAAAAGAGAGAGGAAGGAAGGAAGGAAGGAAGGAAGGAAGGAAGGGAGGAAGGAAGGAAGGAAGGAAGGAAGGAAGGAAGGAAGGAAGGGAAGAAGGAAGGAAGGAAGGAAGGAAGGAAGGAAGGAAGGAAGGAAGGAAGACAGAAATCTCCATAGTCCCACCATGGTCTGGTTGGTAGAAACGCCGGAGTCTTCCAAGACTAGGTGTCTACTGTAAGTCAGAGCTGTGATGAGATTCTTCCTAGCAGGTAGGGACTTGACTTCTTCACAGATATTCAAACACAACCAACAGAAATCCAGAAGGATGGCAGACCCCAGAACTCTTTACCTGTAAGACCTGGAGGTCCTGGCAGTCCAGGCTGCCCTGGAGATCCAGGAAGGCCAATTTCAATACAGTTGAGGCAGGTGTCCCCCTTGTCTCCTGGAAAGCATTGTATTGGAAACATTGGTAAGAAACGTGAGCGTGTATTTTTTTACGGCAGCTCTCATGGGCCCAATTTAATGGACCTAATTAATGGAAGGGCTCTACTTCCTGAGTTCAAGCAAATTAAGACAAGACCAAGGTTTAGGATTGTACCTTTTACTCCTTGCTCTCCTGGCATTCCTCTGTCCCCTGGAGATCCTGGTGGGCCCCGAGCTCCCTTTTCACATATCTCACCATCTAAATTAAAAGTAGAGACCAGTAGCCCCCATGGTTGGGTTTTAGAGTTGTCCACACTCAGCCAAGAGTCTAAGCCGGGGGTTTGTAACCTAGGGTCCAAGGATCCCCAAGGGATTCACAGATAGATTTCAGGGGGTCCATGAACTTTGATTAGGAAAAAAATGACATCAATTTCAATATAATCGGTTTCCTTTGTAATCCTATATGTTTTATTCTGCACATGTAAAAAAACATTTTTCTGAGGAGTCCACAGGCCTCACGAGACCCCCAAAATATTAGAAATCCCTGAACTAAACCAAAAGAAATCTCAACAGGTTAAAAAGAGGCAAGACTTCCTTCCAGGGAGAGTTATATGATGAAGTAAACAGTCAGCAGAAGTAAACAGTAAATGCAGATCCATTAGCTAAAAGCAGCTCCAAAGGGGCCGAAAGAAGGGAGGACAAATGCTTGATGAAAACTACCTAAGGGCAAATTTAAATACCAGGGACTCCCCAACGATTTCCAACACAGGGGTGGCAGCAGACTCCTTCGGATAACAAAGGTGGTAGATGTTATATGAGTTCCTTAAGGGCAGAGACTGTTGGTCTTATTATTAAACAGTATCTCTGTGGCCTTACACAGTGCCCAGCACACAGTAGGTACTTAATAACTGCTTGCTGATTGATTAATAGACCACAAAGAGGGTGCAAGACCCACCCATTTTGCTAGGGCTTCTTTTAGATTCAAAGTAGGGGAGAGCAGACATCCCACTTACTAGAAGGGAAATGAGGTCCTGGTTCGCCCGGAGTCCCAGGGAGACCAGGAGTCCCAGGCCGCCCGTCAAGTCCAGGCTGTCCAGGTATGGTGATGCCAGGCAGACCTTTAGCTCCCTTCTCGCCCCTTTCCCCAGGAAAGCCAGGCGGTCCAGGAGGGCCTATGATAATGGTCCCTAAACAAGGAAAACCACATGTTACAATGAGCAATGCCTTAGCATGTTACAATGGCTACTTGCTATCTCTTTAGCATAGCAAGTGATGGCAGAATCTGTCATTCACCCTAGCCCACACGCCAGGTTATATTGCTATTTTCTACTTTGGGAGAAGAAGGAGGGAAGTGTCAACATTTCAATCACCTTTAGAGGTGGCAGAGAGAACAGTCTTCAAAGTGTGCTCCATGCTTTTAGAAATGTGCTGAAAAATCTCTGCCTTTCCTCATTTGACACAAAAATAATTACATTTCTCGCAAGCTCAGGAAGGCTCAAACTCAAATCCTGGAACTAGTTTCTGGGGACCATTAAAAAGAAAACAGACAGACACCATCGATCTGAGACAAGCTGCGGGCAGTCCTGGAGGGAGGCGGGGCCCAGACTAGCTGGCCTCCAGGTGGCCCTCCCAGCCCGCACCTCTGTGATCTCCACAGCCACACCATAATCCGCCAGTTTATTAAACTGACGTAGTTGCCAGCTTAACACAACGCTGGGGTAGGGCCATGACATTTCTCCTCCTAGGCCTCTCCTGAGGATTACTGGGTACATGGCACAATGATTCCATTAGCCAAATAGCCTTACAGAGCCCAAAGAACAGGTTTTACACATTCCACAATCTCACTTCAGCATAAACATGAGGATGTGTTCCCCAAATGGAGAGGGATGACAGCAGGCATATTTACTGCTGCTCAGACAGAATGCCCCCAGGCTGGAGCCCAGAATGGCTATTCACTGAAGTGGTGATCACCCAAGATTTCCATCTTGGCAACATCATTATGGGAAATCACATGTGGAGATCATCAGTAGCCCAACTGTACAGAGGGCATTAGCAAAGAGATAGGGGTGGGGGTGCTTGAGGCACTGCCTCCTAGGTACCCTCTGGTTTCACTCAGTACCTGTGTGTTTCTGAATTAGAAGCTCCTTTATCTGGCCATCATTCCTAGAACCCTCATGCCTATCCATGGCAGCCTTGTTCCTCCTATGTCCCCAGACCACTCTGCCCTACCCTTTCACGGTGCCCTGATCAATTGTTAACAAACTGCATCCTTCCTGTGGAAATGACTCTATATACCGAATACATGTGTATTCAGCATGGCTTAGTGGATAGGCAGCTGCTCTCATAGCCAGCAAGTCCTGGGTACAAGTCCTTCCCCTGATACCTCTCAGTGCCCCAGGCTCTAAGTTGTAAAAGAAGTACTGATCTGCATTGGGAGAGGAAGTTTTCTCATTGGGAGTTCTCTATACCAATGAAATCACAGGTCTGGTCCAAAAAACCCCAAAGAGACAAGTGTAGTATATTAAAAAAAAAAAAGAGCTAATTCCTAAGTCAGGAAGACCCAGGTTCAAGTGTCACCTCTGACATATGTATGACCCTAGGCAAGTCACTTAAGCCATTAGGCTCTAAGGCTAAGGTAGCGCAGGTACTGATCTGCATTGGTAAAGGGAGTTCCCTCCCTGGGAGCTCCCTAATGCCAATGAAATGACAGGACCAGTGCAGACAAAACTATTTTGACTAGTCTGTGTCTATGTATTTCCTCCCAGTAGGATGGAAGCTGTTTGAGGGTGAGAGCAATTTCATTTTTATCTTTCTCCCCTTCACCTAACAGTGCCTGGAATACACGAGAGGTTAATAACTGCTCCTTCAACTGTGTTGTTTGGTGACGAATGGTCACCAAGGGCCAAGATGGTAAAAAGATGCAATTCAAATGTGTTCATCGACCTTCTTGTCAAGAGGTGGGAGAGGAAGCTGAAATCAGATAACTCATTAACTGTCCATTTCATGGATGCAGAGTCGAACCCTCTCCTTTTACAGATGAAGAAACTGAGGCCCTGAGAGGGATCGTGACTGGCCCAAGATCACACATAGGCCTGGAATCTAGGGCTGGAAGGGCCCTCAGAGGCCATAGAGTCCAACCTCCCTCATTTTTACAGAGGAGGAAATTGAAGCTTACAGAAAGGAAATGACTTGCCCAAGGTAAATGGAAGAGCCAGGATTGGAACTCAGGGCTTTGGACTCCAAATCCTTCCCTCTTTCCACTACACCATCTTGCTTATCCATTACCCTCCCCAAATCCTTAAAAGCTCCTTGTGTTGACTGTTTCCTGAACTTTCTAGAACAGAGGCAGGGAACCTGCAGCCTCCAGGCCACACGTGGCCCTCTAGGGCCTCAAGTGCAGCCCTTTGACTGAATCCTAACACAAAACCTTTCTTGATTCCCCCCCCCAATTATGCATGCCCTCCCTCCTTGATTACTTTGTATTTATTCTCTTAACATTTTGGGGTATACATTTATATATGTGCTTATTGTCTTTCCATTTAGAATATAAGTTTCTTGAGGGTAGAGATCGGTTCATTTGTGTATTTCTATACTGCTTAGCATAGTACCTAGCCCATAGTAGGCACTTAATAAGTGCTTGTTGATTGACTGATTGATTAAATGAGGTCTTTGAGAGGAGGGACTGTTTCACTTCTGTCTTTGTATCTCCAGTGCCTGGCACATAGTAGGTCCTTAATCAAGAAATGCTTGTTAATTGACTGATTCCTGGTCTGCATTAAGATCTTTGATCTCAGGCACCATTTCTTACCTGGAGGCCCAGGAAGGCCAGACAGACCTGGTACCCCAGGGAATCCTTGATCTCCTTTCTCTCCAGGCAAACCAGGCAAGCCCAGGTTCCCTTTTTCACCAGTCCCAGGCCAAGGAATTACCTATAACAGGAAGGTGAAGCCTTGTAAGTGCTGAAGGGGGGAGGGAGGGACATGGAGATCAGACAGCATTAGCACAACTTTCCAGGATGTCCAAAGGGTGTGGACACACATGGAGGACCATGGAGCAGCAGGACTTCCAGAAGGAACTTCAACATGAACTGCTGAACCCACTACTCAGATGGTGATTTCTTTCTATGTTACAATCACCCTGCTTTCCATCAGACCTACCCACCACCACTGTTAATGGGCTCTACAGCCATTCCTTCCCTCACTGCTTCTCTCAACTTTTCGTTTCCAAAAGTACCTTCCTCCCTTCACCTCTGTACATGTCCTAGCTGAGCCTCCCTCCCTGACTCCAAGCCACCCTCCACACAGAGGAAGAAATGCTTTCAACCTCCACTGGGTCACTCCCCTGCTCAATGATGGGCAATGGCTCCCTACTGCTTACATTATCAAATGCAAATTCCTCAACTTTGATTCTGAGACTCTATAGTAAGACACACCCAATTCCAATGATGTCCTTTCTTTTTACCCCTAGCCAGGAACTTATTATTAGAGCTAAGTCAAACTCCTTGTCAGCCTCTGCATACCCCTCTGCCCTTAGAATAGCAATCTGGGGTCCTCCTTCTTCCTTCCCTCTTAAGATCAGGGACCTAGGGTTGGAATGGACTTCTGGTCAAACCCTCTCATCTTACAGATGTCAAAACTGTCACTTACTACCTCTGTGACCTTGGACAAAGGTCTCTAGGCCTCATAGGATGCTAGGAAGCCCAGATCTGTCTCTCCTATAGCATCTACTTCAATGCCTTGACATAATGGGAATTAAAAACAAACAAACAAACAAAAAAAGGGGGGGGGCCAGCTAGGTGGCGCAGTGGACAGAGCACTGGCCCTGGAGTCAGGAGGACCTGAGTTCAAATCTGACCTCAGACACATAACACTTACTAGCTGTGTGACCCTGGGCAAGTCACCCAAAAACAAAACAAAAAACACCAAATAGGAGGAATTCAATAAATATGGAATCGAATTTACTCTGGAAAATCCACCTTAATGCAGCAGAATATAGCAAGGATCCTAGAAAAAGGACTAGAAGTGACCTCAGAGGTCCTCTGGTCCAACTCCCTTAATTTTACAGAAGGGGAAACTGAGGCATGGGGAGGGGAAGGGACTCATCCAAGGTCACACACAGGATCACAGATTTAGAGCTGGAAGGGTCCTCAGAGGCCATCAAGTCCAACTCCCTTTAATTACAGAGGGATAAACTGAGGCCCAGGGAAATAAAGTCACTTGTCCAGGATCATACCCAGGATCATAGCTCTGCAGGTGAAAGGGACTTCAGAAATCATGTGGTTCAATCCCTTCATTTCAAAGAGGAGGAAACTGAGGCCCAGGGAGGTTTAATGACTGCCCAACCCTGGAGTCAGGAGGACCTGAGTTCAAATTCAGCCTCAGATACTTACTAGTTGTATGACCCTGGGCAAGTCACTTAATCCTGATTGCCTCAAAAAAAAAAAAAACAAAACAACTGCCTGAAGCCATACAGGAAATAAGTGTCAGAGGAGGAGTTAAACCCAGGTCTTCTGATTTCAAAAACGGTTTTTTGCAAGTCACAGTAAGCATGTCTTAACACTTCAGTGAGAGAATCCAGGCAGCTCCAGCTGGTTGTGCTGAGTGCTTACTACATATCCATCAGAGAATCCCTGTCTTCCTTTAAGACCCAGTGCCAGCATCACCCTTTCTGAGGCCTCCCAAGAGCCGAGAGCCCTCCTTCCCAAACTACCTTGAATCTAATATTTAGTCCCTCCATGTTTATTTGGCATGCATTTCTAGATGTCCTCGTCTCCTCCATTAGAATGATGGCTCTTTGAGGCCTTGTATATTTTGACTCCCTCCAGAGTGCTTCACTATCTATACCTGATGTTCCATGTGCTGGGGATATTTCATAAATGTGGGAGATAGAGTTAAAAGAAGCTTCCCAGAAAATGGATAGGTATTATAGGGAGGAGAATGCTCAGCCCTAGTCCATCTCCAGTAATGACAGAAAATAGGGAAAGAGATTAAATGGAAACAAAATAACACAGGGTACTGGGGATCAGCTCTGGCGCTGCCAGGGCCTGGCTGTATGGTCCTAGACAAGTCACTTGACTTCTCTGGTCCCCAGAGAATCCCCTCCCCCCAGAAGGAGGAATTGGGTTGGATAATCAAGCTCTAAATCCCTCAGTTTCATGATTCTAGAAAATATTATTTGTGACATGTATGGAAGAACCTTGTGACAGCCAAGTTCATTAGATACCAGCGACCTGTTCTCTCCAGCAGGGCCAACACTTCCCAGTGTCCAAGGTGCTAACCAAAGGGCTCCCTCTACCACATCTGAGAAAAAACACTGATGGCCCCCAAACCAAGGAGGGCAACTGGCCTGCTAAGAGCACTGGCTAAGGAAAAGGGAGTCTCAGAAAGGTCAATGGCTTTGCCCAAGGCAGCCAGGGACAAATGGAAGGACCGTGGTGTAAGTGGAAATAGCGTTGAACTTGGATCAGAGAACCCTTGCTCACATCTGCTATTTACTACTACCTGGGTGACAAGCCACTTTCCCCCCCAGGCCTCAGTTTCCTCATCTATAAAATGAGGGGGATTGGACTCTATGACCTCTGAGGTCCCTTCTATCTCTAGATCTAGGACCTATGTGTGACCTTGGATGAGTCCCTTCCCCTTCCCTGGGTCTCATTTTCCCCCCTCTGTTAAATTAGGGGAGGGGGGGTTGACTAGAAGGCCTTTAAGACTGCAGTTCTAAACCTGCAGTCTTGTGAAAGGAAAGCCCCAGGAACTGCATGGGCAGAATTCTGACAGGCCCAGAGAAGGAGAAAAATAGAAACCTGTCCATTAATTGCCTTGGGTGCAGGGACCCCATCTTCTCTCTCCTTGCAGAATCCCTCCCAAGCCTGCTCTCCTGCTCACTGCCCTCCTGGCAGGCAGGCAGCGTCCAGCCATGTTAGTTCAATGTCTGCATACATAACATAAGCTTTCATGCTTCCCTTCCCCTCACGGCTTCAATTCACTCTCAGAGTTTAAAGTTTCACCAACTTTTGGCCAAATAAAGAACAACTGAAACCTACGCAATTAAATTTAACAAAGTCAGAAATACATTGGGGAATGTCAATTTCACAGTGAAAATCCCTAAATCCCACAATTAGCCTTTCGCGGAACCATTTTCTACATTTGTTACTAAGGGCGCCCAGAAAGCACACACTCGGAGCTGGGGAGGTCTGAAATCAGGCAATTACAAATTGAGAAAACCTATTAGGACTAAATCCATCTTTCCCTGGGGCCCTCCAGGGGAAGGGCGGGGAGCCTGGCTCTTTCCTTGTAAGTAGCTCTTGCGCCACCTGCTGGCCATTTGAGAAACGACCTTGGCAACTACCAGAGACCCAGGAAACAAGGGCTGCTGTATTTCTGCATTTGTACCATGGAAAAGTTACACAAAGAAAGCAAATCACAAGCCTCCTTGAGGATTAGGCCATTGCTAAAATGTTCACATAATGCCCATCGCAATTCTTTTTCATGGGACTGGGAGGCACTGGAAATTTTACCTTCTTTGTACTGTGAATACGGAGGCGTCTCCCCTGAGGGAATGGAAGCTCCCCAGAATAGGGGCTTGTACCTCCATTGCTGTCTCTCTGGCCCAGGCACCTAGCTCAGGGCACGTAGTAGGCTCTCACTAAATGCTTCTTGTTTGACTGATTGTCATGTTTCCCTCTAGAGAAGGTCATCTCCCTTGAGAAAATGTCAACTTGGTGATGGGAGGGGCTGGTTTGTTTTTTTTCCTTTGTAACCCCCACAACCCAATGCCGAGCCGGGTGCCCGGCAACCCCGGGAGTGCTTCCTAAAGGATTGGTGATGGATTGGTTGATTTGAGAAGAGGAATTGGGTTGTCTGTGATATAAGGAGACTGGGTGGGGCGGGGCCAATGAGGGAGAGAGTACTCCAAAAACCTAAAACTTAATAAAAGGAGAGGGAAAACCCCACAACTTACAAGTCCAGGCAGGCCAGCGGGGCCAGTATCACCTTTTTGACCCTGTTAATAAAATTTAAAAGCAGATTACTGAAAGGCATAAGAAAGGTGAGAGACAGGAAGGAAGGAAAGAAAGAAAGAAAGAAAGAAAGAAAGAAAGAAAGAAAGAAAGAAAGAAAGAAAGAAAGAAAGAAAGAAAGAAAGAAAGAAAGAAAGAAAGAAAGAAAGAAAGAAAGAAAGAAAAAGAAAGAAAGAAAGAAAGAAAGAAAGGAAGGAAGGAAGGAAGGAAGGAAGGAAGGAAGGAAGGAAGGAAGGAAGAAAGAAGAAAGAAAGAAAGAAAGAAAGAAAGAAAGAAAGAAAGAAAGAAAGAAAGAAAGAAAGAAAGAAAGAAAGAAAGAAAGAAAGGAGAGGAAGAAAGGAAAAGAAAAAAGAAAGAGAAAGAAGAGAGGAAGAAAGAGAGAGAGGAAGAAAGGAAAAAAGAAAAGGAGAGGAGGAAAGCAGGAAAGAGAGAGAGGAAAAAAGAAAGAGAAGAGAAAATGAGAGAAAAGAGGGAGGGAGGGAGGGAGGGAGAGACAGACAGACAGACAGAGACAGAGACAGAGAGAGATGCAGTGGTTTTTATAAAGAGTCAGGAGCCTGAACAAACCACCTACAAAAGAAAGGTAGCCTGCAGTCATGGACAGGGGTGTCGGCCAGCCAAGCTAGGCTCTATTCTGAGGCTGCCAGGAAGCAGCTCCGAGCCCCTGATCAATGAATGACCTTCTGGGCCCCAGTTTCTTACCTGTAAAATGAGGAAGTTGGTATTTAAGACTGCTAAGCACCCCCCATCCCAGGTCTGACACCCTAGAATACTAAAGTAGCTGAGTGTTAGCTTCTCAGCACTCTAGAAACAGGAATGAAAACGTGGGTGTTACCCGAGCCATGTTCTACAGGTGAATTTTAATGGCATCCCATAACTTTTTTGGGAAGGGGGTAAGGAAGGCCCCAAAAGTGCTGTTTAGACAAAAGACAGAGATTGAAGACCGGCAGGACAACTCCAGCCCCGTCGTCAACGGCGGCCAATAATCCATGCCGCTGATTTGGTTCTGCTCTGCCCTTAGACGCTGCAGTGAGGAATTAAGATGGTCACAGCTTAGCAAGACAAAGACCTTGCAGGGCCATGCAGAAATCTGCGGCAGCATCAGGGACCAGACGCCTGAAATCTTATTCCACAGGCCAACACCCTTCTTCCTATACAGCTGAACTCCTTTCTCCAGCCTGGCAGCAGACATTTTATGGTCTCTTAGAACTGGGGGAATTTTTATACTGTGTATATTCTCTCTGCTTTTTAGAAAGAGAGCTCCGTTCTAAGTGTTTTATTTTGTTTTTTGTCACCTCCAGTCGTGACTCTAGCCCTCCTCCCCTCCCACCACAATCCCCCCACCAAGCGAGCCATCCCTCTTAACAGAGATTAAAAAAAAAAGAAAAAGAAGGAAAGAAAGAAAGAAAAGAAAGAGAAAAACAAGTGGTTCGGCAAAGCCGATCGATACATCGTGGGAGGCAGCCGAGCACTGGAGAAACAGTGCTGGCCCTGGAGTCAGGCTCAAAGCCTGCCCCTGCTGCTTCCTCTCTGTGTGATTTAGGCTAAGGCCCTTCCACTCCCTGGGCCTCAGTTTCCTCATCTGCAAAAAGAGGGGGTTAGGCTTGATTACTTCTGAGGTCCTTTCCAGCTCTAGATTTTTACAAGCCTATGAGTCAAAAAAAAAAATGGGTTCAAACCCCACCATCAATACCTAGCTGTGTGAGCTTGGCCAGATTTCTTTACAGAAGCAACCAGAGGGTTGAAAGCCATCTAGCCCACCCACCCACCCAGGAAAAGAATCTCTATTTGTAACATACTCAACAGGTGGTTGTCCAGCCTCCAAAGAAGAGGAACCTACCACCTCTCTGGGCCTCAGTTTCCCCATCCATAAAATAAGAGGGTTGGGTTTGATGGCCAGGAGCCAATGAGTCAGAGGACATGGGTTTAGATCTCACCTCTGAGAGAGACCTCACCAAATCCCTTCCCCTCTCTGGGCCTCAGTTTTCTCCTCTGTAAAATGGGAAGGTGGGGCTTGACAGGGCCATAGTCCAATTGAGCTCTGATCATTTATGTAATATTTCATGCACATAGCCCCCCCATCTCTGCAAAAACAAAAAGGGAGGGAGGAGCATTTTATCAACTCCTCTCCGGGCTCAATCTTGGTCGTGATCATTTTTTGTTCTTTGGCTTGGTGGGGGGAACTTCCAGAAGAGGATACTCCCTTTTCCAAGGATGACAGGGCACCCGCTGTGCAGTTGCCCCGGGTGCTGAGGGGTTATTTACCCAGGAGCAAGTAGTTATTGAGTAGGAGAGGCCTGAGTTAGGCCCAGGGCTGCCTGACTGTCTATTCCCACACTAGCCTGTTTTTATCTTGCTTTGTATCCTGGGCCTTTACCATAGTCCCTGGTCCACAGTAAGCATTTAATCAATACTCGTTGATTGATTGATTGTCTCTCAGAGTGTTTACAGAATCCCTAAATGAATAGCCTTAGTCAAAGTGAGGCTCCAAAGGAAACATGGAAGCATTTGCAAAGAATGAGTCCTAGACTTGCAAACAACCATTTGATAGATATGACTGATTTGCTGGGGTGGGGTGGGGTGGGGAGAATGCTCTTATGCCCAAACCAGGCAGGATGCTTTCAAGGATGGGCCATGAAAATCCTTCCCAGTCCCCACTTCTGGTGGGCCATGCTCAAGGCCCACTAAATCACTCTTTTCACAATGGGAATGCTTTGTTTAAAATCAAATAAGTATTTTGCCTTTTCCTTATGAGTTACAATTTAAGGGAATGGAAATGAACTCAGAGGCTCATGGGAGCATAGGATCCTAACTCTGGGGCTGGACAGGCCCTCTCAGAGGGGGAAACTGAGTCCCAGGGCCATGAAGTGACTTGCCCAAGGTCACACACAGGTAGTAAGAGGCAGAGATGGGATTTGAACCCAAATCCTCTGATGTTGAGCCATTGCTACAATGATGCTCTAACTTGGAGAGGAATTACATAATCCAGTGTCTTGGAACATTCCCATTTTGAATTTACTCTGTGGTTGAGACTAAGATTAGATGTATTGCTTGGTGCCCAGTGTTTACCTTTTCACCACCCCTTCCAGGTTTACCAGGAATACCAGGATCACCAGGCAAGCCCTTGGAAATGAAAGGGAAAAGAGCACCCTTAGAAACATGAAGATAAGGCAAGACATGATCATTGAGTCTGAGCTGCAACTACCATGGGGAAATCGAGGCAAGGCTTTCCTGTCTCCTCGCTGCCTTGGATCCCATGGCTGTCAGAAGTCTCACCCCTCTCTCAGTCCTGCTTATGCCTACCCACCTGGGCAGAATGTTTTGATGCCAACTTGCCCAAGATCAAGTGGGAGTGGGAATGGGAATCAGCAGGGAGGGCCACCAGCACCCCAACCCCACATAACAAACTCAGCCCTAACCCTGTCCTGTCCCTCTCCAGTGTACCCTCAGGAATCCTCCTCTATTATTGAACCCCAGGCCCTTCATCCCAGACCTCTTCCTCAGCTTTTCTGTAAAATCAAGGTGTTGGACTTGGTGGCCTCTGGGCCCCTCCCTGCCAACTCTGGGCCTAGTATTCTAGGCTTCCTCCCTAAGCCCTCCCCAAGGCAGGCTGCTTCTTCTCTTTCCCTGCCTGACCAAAGCTCCTTCCAGGGGAAGGAACATGACACCAAACCTGCCTTCCGGACTCACCCTCAGCCACTGCTTTCCTCCTCCCGAGCTCTCCCCTTCCGGCCCAGACCCTTGCTGCTGCTATCTGGGAGCCTCTGTCTCTCTCTCTCTCTCTCTCTCCCCCAATGCCCAAACAGGTTTGGAACCTAGAAGCTGATCAGAGAAATCCTTTCTCCCCCAGCTTCTCCCTGCTTCAGACAATATGGCCTCCTGATTCATCAGCACCTTCCTCTGCATAGTCTACCTCACCCACCCCTCTGAATCAGGCAATTACATATTGAGAAAACATATCAGGACTAAGCCCCTGTTCCTTGCACCACACAGAGGAAGGGCGGGGAGCCTGGCTCTTTCCTTTGTAAGTAGCTCTTGTGCCACCTGCTGTTCATTTGAAAAAACGACCTTGGCAATTACCAGAGATCCAGGAAACTCCACACTGCAGTAATTCTGCATTTGTACTATGAAAAATGCATACAAAAAAAGCAAATCACAGGACCTGCCCTAGTCATTAAACCTCATTAAAATATTACTAGAAGGACCACAGCTAACTTTGAACTCAGGATGTGTTTTTCCTAAGGAAGTGTTGCAAGGCGTGGCCCATGACTTTTGGAAGATGGTTGGGGGTGTGCATTATATAAGGAGACTGGGCAGGGTGCAGTGGACAGGGAGGAGTGCTCTAAAAAAGGAAACTTGGAAAAAGAAGGAGACAAATAAATGTATGCCCTCTCTACCCTGCTCCCTGGCATTTGTGTAAGCAGGCACTGCAAACTAAGCCCCTCCCTGTCCCTGGCCCCTATGCTTTAAGGCATTCCTCCCACACCCCCCCATGCCAACTGGCTACTCACTTGCATGCCCGGGAGGCCACTGGCTCCATCTCTGCCTGGCCTACCCTTCATCACACAAAGAGATTTTCAGAAAAAAGGAAATAAGGACTTTGTTAGAAGTGAAATATACAACTAGAAGCTAATCATTTCCTCCCACCCCCACCCCACCTTGGGATACTGCAAACATCTTTAGAACTGGGGGCTGTTTGTGTATGTGTGTATGAGTATATGTCTATATGTGTGCATGTATGTATTTGTATATGTGTTTATGTGTATGTATGTGTATGTGTGTAGGTGTTTGTAGGTGTGTATTGTGTATATATGTATATGTGATATATATGTGTATATTGATTTCAGACATTTGGCTTCAGATGAAAAGAAAATGACTCATCACCAGCCCACTTATACCAACTTATTAATCTCACAAGACTCACTTTCTGGCCTGGTTCCCCTTGCTGGCCTTTTTCACCCTTCATACCACCAGGAAGACCCTGAAGGCACAAAAAAAAAAATTGATTTTCCATTCAGCCAACAGACAAATGTACAGTATTCTACAGATTAAGAGCAAAACATTGCTAGTTACTCACAGGAGGCCCACGGAGCCCAGGAAGTCCAGGTGAGCCTCGGTCACCTGGGGTACCCTATCAAAGAGGGGAAAAGAATAATGCTTAATGAGGGGAACAAAGTCCACCCACCAACCCAACTGATTTGGCTAGCTAGTTAGAAGACCCACTAGCACCTAGCTGTTCAGAAATCATCTAGCACAGAGGTGGGGAACCTGTGGCTTCAAGGCCACATACAGCCCTCTAGGTCCTCAAGTGCGGCTCTTTGACTGAATCCAAACTTCACAGAACAAATCCCCTTAATAAAAGGATTTGTTCTGTAAAACTTGGACTCAGTCAAAAGGCCACACCCAAAGACCTAGAGGGCCACATGTGGCCTTGAGGCCATAGGCTCCCCACCCCTGACTAGCAGGATGATGCTATAGGACCAAAGATCTTGCAGGCAATTACATTTTAAAACCCCCTAATTTTAGAGGTGAGGTGGAGGCCCCAGGAAAAGAAGTGACTTACCCAAGGTCACACAAAGGATTCCCCATCAAGAGTTGGAAAGGAACCTCAGAAGTTTAGTTTCCTCATCAATTTCCAACAATAGCAACAAGTATTTATTAAGCACTTACCACTCTGCTAAGCACTAAGGATACAAAGAAAGGCAAAAACATGGTCCCTTCCCTCAAAGCGCTTACATTCTAATGTGAGAGAACACATGCAAACCACTGTGTACATAAAAGAGAAATACAGGGTAAATGGGAGGTAATCTCAGAAGAAAGGACTTTGAAGATGGGAGGAGACCAGGAAGGGTCTGCTGCAGGAGGTGAGATTTAAATTGAGTCTTGAAAGGAGGCCATGGAAGCCAGAAGGGTGAGGTGAGGAGGGAGGGCCTGAGGGAGGCACTACTAGGGCAAAAGTCTGGAGGGTAGTATCATGTGCAAGAAAGAGAGAACAGGCCAGTATCTCCAAAAACGGAAGGGAGTAAAGCATGAGGAGACTGGAAAGGTTGTGAAGGGCTTGAAAAGCCCAATCATGGAAGAAACGGAGCAAAGGGAGGTTAAGTGACTTGCTTCTTCCACATTGTACTAGAGATCTAGAACCAAAAGGGACCACAGTTCCTCCATTTTACAGAAAAGGAAACTGAGGCAGGATTTGAACTCAGGTTTTCCTGACTCCAAGTCTAATGCTCCATCCACTATATCATGATACCTCTCAAGAGGTTAATTACGGTGCGTGTGTTATGTGTGCATGTTCATGTGTGTATATATATATGTGTATGTGTGCACATATATATGTGTATGTGTATATGTGTGTACGGTTTCATGTGTATATTTGTGCAAGTATGTATATATGTACACATATGTATGTATGCACTGTATTGTGCACGTATGAATATGTGTAGTATGTGCATGTGCATGTACATGTGTGTGGGCATGGGTATGTGTGTGTTATATGTGTATCCATGTGTATATGTGTGTGGGTATATTTGTATTGTATGCATGTGTGTGCATGTGGTTGTATGCATATTATGTTTGTGTATATGTGTGTATATGTGTATATCTGTGTGCATATATACGCATGCATGTGCATGTGCATGTACTGTAAATGTATATGCGTGCATATATGTATTTTAAATGTGTATATATTTATAAGTGTATGTTTTGTATTTATGTGTGTATATACATATGTATATGCATATTATATATGTGTGTGAATGTATATATGTGTATGTATATGCGTGTATAATATTTTATATGTGTGTATATATATATACGTGTGTGTGTGTGTGTGTGTGTGTGTGTGTTTATTTTCTCATTTCAACCTACTTGCCTTTGAGAGGAAGGCTTGGGGGCTCATTTAGGTTACTACTTTCGAAAAAGATAGCAACTATGTCTCTAAGTATATAAAAAGGCAACTGGATATTCTTCCAAGAGGCTCCTAAGGCCAGCTTGCTGCACATGGACCATGTGTCCATCCACTCTCTTGCACTCCAAGTTGGAAGGGGCCTCAGAGGCCACTGAGTCCAACCGTTACTCGGCAACAAGTCCCCTGCACCAAGCTCGTCATGTGGCCTTTGCTTGTAGCCTCCAATGAGGGGCCCACCTTACTCCTGGCTAGCTTTCTGCCTGTTTGCTGCCCTCCAGCCTCAATCAGCCTCCTTACAGCCTCCCCAGGCCTCCTTACAGCCTCCCCCTATCACTGCTGCTCTGGCCATAGGAGGCCCAGCAGAACAAGACCAACCCTTCTCACCCAAAAGGCAGCTCTCTCCTGTCTCTTCTCCACGCCAAACAGTCCTACCCCAGTTACCTCCACCAAAGCTGGTGCGCCAATGGTCATGAGGGCCTCCGCCATCCTAGCTCCCCTTCCTTAGATGCCCTCCACTTGATCAATGCCCTTATCGATGTCCTTCTTAAACCTTACTTCCCAGACCTGAACACAATACTACAGCTGAGGTCTTGATAAGGGCAGAAGACAGCCAATAATTGCTTCTTAGACTGAGAAGCTCTGCCTCTCTTAATGAAGCCTAGAGTTTCATTAGTTCTTCTTAGTTACCATATCACACTGAGGACTCATGTTGATTTTGTAAGACCACTAAAACCCCCAAATCTTTTTCAGGCAAACTGTGGTCTAGCCACATATCCCCCCTCTTTGAATCCTGCCTGTTATCCAGTGTTAGCTATTCCTCTCAGCTGAGTATCACCTGTAAATCACACCATCTATGCCTTTCTCTGAAATAGCAAAGGGCCAAGTATAGAGACCTGAGGCACTCCACCAAAGACCTTCTTCTAGATCCCCAACAACAGATCAGCAATCACTTATGCTGATTCTTGTAATACTGAGTAGGGGGCATTTTAGATAGGCCTTAAAGAATCATTCTTTGGGATAAAGAAAAAAGAAGCAAGAGGAGAGGAGCTGAGCAGTTCTATTCTTTGGTCCTCAGTCATTAAGGCACAATTGGTCCTATGTCTCCTTTTAGCTTTCCCCCAAACCCCTTTTTTATTGTTCAAATCTAGCTCTCCAACGCTGCACCCATTCTTAGCATCTGCCTTCCTGATACTAGTCTTCCAGGACCAAGTGAGGCTTTCCCCCTCTGCACTGCTGTCTCTCAAACACTGATCAATCCATCTCTTGTGGAGTGTTAGCTGGGGAAAAAAAAAATTGGAGCAAGACCATAAATCAAGCATTCATTCAACAAACATTTACTAAACAGCTACTCTATGGAATAAAGTGCCATTCTGTCTCATCTATCGTCACTGTTTTCAAGGACCTCAGTCTCACAGGGAGACATAGCTACAAGCTTTATGAAGCAAGCAACCACTATGGGCGAGGAAGTGGGTTCCAAAGACAACAGGTATAAATTAATGCTGGCCAAGTACGTAAGAAAGGGACAAAGGCCTCATAGGAGAAATGGGGCTGTGAAGTGGATAGAGTGCCTAGCCTGAAGGCAGGAAGATTCATCTTCCTGAGTTCAAATCCAGCCTCAGACACTTACTAACTGTGTGACCCCTGGCAAGTCACTTCACCCTGTTTGCCTCAGTTTCCTTATCTGTAAAGTAAGCTGAAGAAGGAAATGGCAAATCACTCCAGTATCCTGGCCAAGAAAACCCTAAATGGGGTCACAAAGAGTCACACACCACTGAAACGACTGAACAACAATAACAAAACCTCAAGGGGCCATAGCATGCAAAGTGTAAACAGAGGCAATTCATGAAGGGAAACTTATGTATGGTGTGATGTGCTCAGTCACTCTCAAACTCCTTATCCAGGCTTTTGAAGGGCTTCATGTGTTTCTAGTGATGCCCTCAACTCCTTACCCTCATGTCCAAGTCTTGTCATTTCTGCCTCTGCACCATCCCCCAAATATGCCCCCTGCTCTCCTCTGACATGGCCCCCACCCTGGTACAGGCTGTTATCACCTCCTGCCTGGACTATTGCAGTGGCTGCTGGTGGGGCTGCCTGCCACAAGGCTCTCCCCACTACTGCAGTAGCCGCTGGTGGGGCTGCCTGCCACAAGACTCTCCCCACTCCAATCCCTCTTATTCTAAGCTACTGAGGGGATTTTCCTAAAGCACAGGTCTGATCACGTCACCCCCCTACTCAATAAACTCCAGTGGCTCCCTACTACCTCTAGGATCAAATAGAAAACCCTGTTTCACTTGTAAATTCCTTTAAATCCTGCTGTCTTCTGACCTTTCTAGTCTTCTTACACCTTACAAGTTACTCTGCAATCCAGTAACACTGGCCTTCCTGCCATTCTTCATAACACTCCATCACCCTGTATATAGCTTGCTTTGTATGTATTTGTTTCTATGTTATCTTCCTTATTAGGCTATAAGCTCCTTGAGGGCAGGGGCTCTCTTTTGCCTCTTTTTGTATCCCCAACACTTAGCACAGTGCCTGGCACATAGCTGGTGCTTAATAAATGCTAGGTGACTGATCCTCCTCCAATGTTTCATTGTGGCAGGGAGTCAAGCTTATAGCATGGACCCAGTGATAGATTTTTGTTGGTATACTGAGGACTAGTGTAACCAAGCCTGAAGAGGCCCAAGACCAGGTCAGCCAGAAGGGAAAAAGATGTTTGGTCAAAGCATCTCTTGAAGACCACCTACATATAGATTGTATAGAGGTCAACAGAGTATCCACTCCAATGAAACCATAGACTTCAGCCATTTAATTATCTGATAATTTGATAAATTAATAATTAGATAATTATTTTATAATTAACAATTATTTGATAATTAATACTTGATATCAAATTTGAAATTTTGATAAATTAAAATTTTGATATTTGAAAGGTATAGAGAACAGAGTTCTAGATTTGTAATCAAGAAAATTCAGATTTAAACCCTGCCTCAGATACTTATAAGCTGTGTAGCTCTGGGCAGGTCACTTAACCTCTCTGGGCCTAATCCATAAAATGAGTAAAGTGGACTAGACTGGATGGCTCCTGAGGACCTTTTAAGCTCAAAATCTATGATCCTATGCATGACCTTGGTCAAGTCACTTATCGTCTTTAGAGGAAAGGTTAGCCTCTCTGGGCCTCTGATGGCCCTTTTAGCTCTAGATGTAGAATCTTACGTATGATGTTGAGCAAGTCTCTTATCCTTTCTGGGCCCCAGTTTCTTCCTCTGTAAAATGAAGGTTCTGAACTAGATGGTCTACAAGGTCCCTTATGTTTTCCAGGTCTTGGGATTATTTTAAAATAATATTCATCTGTAAGCCTATGCAAAGTCCCATTCCAAGCAGCAATGGTTATCTTCATCCCCCTACCTCACCTGATCTCCTTTCAGCAGCTCCGTCTCATTTGATCCCTTCAGTTCCCCAATCTGCCCCGGGGGGCCAGGTGGGCCCTGCAGCCCTTGTTCACCCTAGTTCCCCCAAAAGAGAACAAAATATTGAGATCACTCCATTTGGCTAAAGCATATGACATGTAAAGCATGGAGGATGACAGAAGAGGAAATCAGATCAAAGCAAGAGGTCAGAAAGTTACAAAAAGAGAAGACTTACTTTTTCACCTTTGGGGCCCTGGAAATTCAAGCCCATATTCCCCTGAAATGAACATTTTTCAGATAAGAACTCGAGTATCAACAACTACAAAATAGCCTGAAAGAGCTAAAAAGAATATAAAGAAAACAGAAATTACCTTTGGTCCTTGAATTCCTGGTGGCCCAGGAGGCCCCTATGAATTAATCAAGGAATAAAAGGGGAAAAGTTCTATTTATTTTTTAATCAAAATGTCCTTTGATATCAAAACATCTTCGGGTTCAAATGATCTGTGCTTCACCAGCCCTAGGACCCCAAGCCTTTGGGGATCCAGCTTATGGCCAGAATCTCAGCAGCACCAATGACTTCTGGGGCTAACTGTTGTTCCAGGGCCTTTAAGGAAAATCTCGTCACATTCAAATATATCATCAAATGTATCATACCAGCAGGCCACTAGGGCTAGAAAGACAAAATACATTCTTTTGCAGAAAGACCCCAGTTTATTCTTGAAGCAATTTTTTAAAATCTTATTTAGCCTTTCTTCAAGAATGTATTTGGGTTTGCAAACTTCATGGCACAAGATAAAAGTGAAGCTGGATCAGGGCCTATTTACACATCACCATTATCTGTGCCCAGCCTGTGGTAGAGCCTTCTGAGCTCGTGTTGGTCTGATTAGCCACAGTTGGATACACTGTACCTTGACCCCAACATCGTGATGCCATTTTGGTCCTCTTTGAGAACAAAGGACAACAACATCACATATGGCTTCCACAGTCCACTGATATTACAGGTACCATCAGAAAGCCATGATGTGTCAGATAAGGGGAGGTAGAATGCAAAAAAGGAAGACTGTGTCCCAAACCCAAGCCATCTTCATTGTTCAGGGTCAGGACATGCTAATTGAGAAACTATCATCTGGTTTTGCCCCTTACCTTGATGAAGGCCTTGAGCTCTGACAGATAGGAGTCTGTCCTCTTCTGAAAATTCTCTAACTATTCGAATATTTACTCTTCCTTCCAATGTGAATAAGTTCAAGATAGAGGGATAGGACTGAACCTGTAATTTCATTGGCCCAGGGAACCCCAAAGTGAAGAAACTTCTTCTACCAGTGAAGGTGGGCACCTTCTCTGCAACACTTAAAGAGCCTGGTGATCACATGGCCACGAGGGGTCAAAGGTGGGCCTGGCACCACAAAATGAATCAATAAGCATTTATTTGATGCCTGACTCTGTCACCAGGAGTCCCATCACAACCATCTACTACCTTTGTGACCTGGGGTAAGACCCTTCCCTTCTCTGGGCCTCAAGCTCCCCCTCTGTAAAACATGGAGATCGGATTTTTGAGGTCCCTTCTAGCTCTAGATAAGAATACTGTGTGATCTTAGACAAGTCCCTTCCCCTCTCTGGGCCTCAGTTTTCTTCTCTGAGGTTTCTTTCCAGTTCTAGCTCTAGACTCCTACAATCCCACTTTGAGTTAGGCCTTGCAATACAAAGCCCAAAATGAAGCAGCCCCCACCCACGAAGAGCTGCCAGCCTCCAAAATGGCAACCAAAGCCAACAGTCTGACGTTTGTACCATATCGTTATTGACTGGCACAGTGGGTGCCTAATAAATGAACCTTTATGGACTGATCCATCAACTGATTGACTGGTTGAAGAAAGTAAAATGGAAGACTGAACCCTTTCATCTTCCACCTTCCTCCAGGGCGAGTAGGGAAAAGAAATCACACTATCTCCCACTTGGAAGGAGCTTACAAATGCCACGTATGCTGAAAAGAAAGGCTCCAGCCCTTGCTCCAAGATCCTCTGGAAAGCTTACCATCCACCCTGGTAGGCCGGGGGAACCAAGAGGACCTGGACTTCCAGTCACACCAGCTGGGCCCTGTCAAAAAAAGGAAAGCATCAGAGAGAGGAGAGCCAAGCCTCTCAAAGAATGGCACCATTGCGAGAGTTCTCTGCTCTAGAACTCAGAGGCATTCTGGGTGCTCAAGCATCCACATGGCATATGATGCAAAAGCAAAGAAACTGAGCTTGTTTCTCAAGTAGTAGCTGGAGGACAAAGGGAAGGGAAGGGATGGGATGGATGCTTTGTTTGGGGCTTCCAATGAAGAGGTTGCAGACATGGGCTCATAGTGGGGGTGGAACACGGCAGAGAATGCCAGGCTTGTTCAAGCTGTTGGTGAGTTGGTTGAACTGGTTTTTCATTCTTTATTATAAAGGATATGTAGGGGGCATCGATAACAATTTTTAAAATAAATTGTGAAGGAGAAAAGAAAGGGGTCAAAGGTGAGTAGTAGTGAGGGGATAACAGGAACAAAAGGTAAGAGTGAAGGCCGAGAGTATTAAGGGAATGGGCCTGGATGGGTTCACTTGCCAAAAGGTATAAGGAGGCCGTGATAGAAGCAAGAAAGAAAAGGGAGTAAACTAGGGGAAGGACATTCATTTTCCCGGGGAAAAAAATTCTCAGTTATGAAAAGGGTCTTAACATTCTTGAGAAAGGTCTCATTGGAGAGTCAGCAGAAAGGACATTGACTCTGAAGCGTTCAAACCCTGCCTCTGACACAGCTGTGTGACCTTGAACCAGTCCTTTCTCCTCCCCGGGCCTCAGTTTCCCTCTCTAAAATGAAGAGATTGCACTTGATGATGTCTAAGCTCCCTTCCAGTTCTAAATCTGGGATCCTGTGTGTGACCTTGGGCCAGTGCCTTCCCCTTCCTGGGCCTCAATTTCTCCCTCTGTAAAATGAAGGAGGTTGGACTTGATGACCTCTAAGCTCCCTTCCAGTTCTAAATCTGGGATCTTCTGATCACACTGGTCCTCCAGCCCACTCTGACTTGCATGCCACTCTTCTGGATTCCCTCCTACCTCTCAGGCTGCTCCTTCTATGTCTTCATTGCAGGTTCTCCATCTTCTTTCTCAATCCTTAAATGTCAGTGGTTCACCCTCCCCATAGCCCAGGCAGGAAATCTCTGAGTCCTTTTGGACTCCTCTCCCTCATATACCATCCCAGATTCTCCCTCTGTGCCATCCCTCCCTCCCGCTCCCAGAAGGCCAGGAGCATGCCAGGAGCATGGGCCATGTCATAAGCATCCTGGTGTTCTTAGCAGCTAGCATAGTGCCTTGCTGCTTAATAGGGTCTGACCTGAATTCTAATGGAGTCCCAGGAGAGATGTTAACATTACCATCCTCTGCCCTCATCAGGCCCCTTCTACCGCACTGTGTTCAGTCTGGGGGAAGCATTTTTAGGACTGCTTTTTACAAGCTGGAAATCACCAAGAAGCCAAAGAAAGTGGAAATGAAGAAAGAACCTTAAGATCTTAGGAGATAAGGGTCAGGTGAATGTTCAACCTGGAGAAGAGAAGGCTTTAGGGAGAACTGAGGCCCAGAAGAGCTAAGTGACTTGCTCTGGGTCACACAGCTGCTAAATCTGAGACAGGCTCTAGGCTTCTCAGCTCTAATGGAGTACAGTGTTCTATCCACTATACCACACTGCCTCTGAAGGACTGCTACATGGAAGATTGTGTATACCTATTCAGCTTGACTCCAGAGATCTATGACTAGGCCATCAGGAAAACCTGAGTTTAAATCCAGCCTCAGACACTTACTAGCTATGTGACCCTGGGCAAGTCACATAACCTTGGGGCAGCTAGGTGATGCAGCAGATAGAGCACCAGGCCTGGAGTCAGTCTTCCTGAGTTCAAATCTGGCCTCAGACAGTTACTAGCTGTGTGACCCTGGATGATTCACTTCACCTTGTTTGCCTCAGTTTCCTCATCTGTAAAATGAGCTGGAGAAGGAAACAGCAAACCACTCCAGTATCTTGGCCAAGAAAACCCCAAATGGGATCACGAAGAGTTGGACATGACTAATTCATTACACACCTGTCCAGGTACAAAGAAAAACATGGCTCAAGGCTTAAAAACCTAACAAAGTCAATTAAAAAGGGGGGGAGGGGCATCTAGGTGGTGCAGTGGATAGAGCTCTGGCCTTGGAGTCAGGAGGACCTGAGTTCAAATCCAGCCTCAGACACATAACACTTACTAGCTGTGTGGACCCTTGACAAGTCACTTAACCCCATTGCCTAACCAAAAAAAAAAAAGGGAGGGGGCAGCTAGGTAGCACAGTGGATAGAGCACTGGCCCTGGAGTCAGGAGGATCTGAGTTCAAATCTGGCCTCAGACATTTACTTGCTGTGTGACCCTGGGAAAGTCACTTAATCCCATTGCCTAACCAAAAACAAAAAGGGGGGGGGGGCAGTTAAGGTAGCACAGTGGATAGAGCACTGACCCTGGAGTCAGGGGGATCTGAGTTCAGATCTGGCCTCAGACATTTACTTGCTGTGTGACCCTGGGAAAGTCACTTATTCCCAATTGCCTCACCAAAAAAAAAGCAAAAAAATTAAAAAATTAAAAAACTTGCAGAGAGGCAGATCTAGGTATGAGGTAAAGGAAAACTACCTAATAGTTAAAGCCATCCTAAAGTGGAATGGCCTGCCTTGGAAGGTAACATTAATGTTAATAACTGCAATTAATATTTATATGGTGCTTTTAGGTTTGCAAAGCCCTTAGAGATATTTTTCTCATTTGTGAGATTGGTGATGTTATCTTCCCCATTTTACAGATGAGAAAACAGGCTCAGAAAGGTTAAGTGATAACCAAGGTCATACAGCTAGCAAGCGGCAAAGCTGGGGGGGGGTCACACATTGGGGGCCACACTGTTCTTCCTCACTGGAAATCTACCAGAAAAAGCTAGAAGGCAGGTGATAGAGGAAGTTCTTGTTCCATTTCGGGTTGGCCCCAAACCCGATAGGTGGTCATTCAGATTCCCAAATCAGCTCCCCTGTGTTAGATACTCTGCCAACTTAAAGCCCCATGTACCTATCAGTTGTGATTCTAGAGGACCCCCCCCCTTCAATTTCAGATTTTCCACAAGGTAGCAGTCACAGGTTGGCCAGACTACAGACATCCCACCCAGCTCCAATATTACATGACTCTGTGATCCCCTTCCATTCAGAGAGGGCCCTGTGCTATGTTTCAGAAATTGTACCCTCCTCTCCCTAGCCCCAGTCTGAATAAAGTCAAAATTCACTGCTCTGTGTGGGCACAGGATTACAAATGAAAGAAGTCTCTCTTAGAGTCATTTCCAGGTAGGCCCATTTGGAGTCAGCATTGGAGCTAATCGACAGCATCCTGGGTTTTTTCTTTTGTTCTAACCAGGCCACCAGCACTTACCAAGAACACTCCTGTCCCTAACGCTCTTTCTAACACACTCACTTAGCACAATATAAGCATAAATCTACAGCCAAAGCCACAAACAAAAATTTCCATGGAAACTGAGCAGAAAGAATAAAACAAAGGAAATCTGATCCTCACTGGTGTTATCTAGGCAACGTTTTGTTGAGATGCCAGTTACATGCTAATTTGCACATGTAACAACTTGAAAGTGCCTATGGATGAAAGCTAGGAGGAAAAAGTGGAGGAGAAAACTGGGGAGTGCTTCTTGGATAGCCCCAAATGTGGCAAGCAAGAAAACCTTCAAATGCACTTACTTGTCTTCCTGGAAGCCCTGGATCGCCTGGGTCCCCCTTCGGGCCTGGCAGTGTGGACAGAATTATACTCCCTGGCAGCCCCTAAAAGAAAACCATAAACACAAGGCCCTTGGAAATATCAGCAGTCCCCATCTCCAAACTGGCAGTGGTGGGGAATGAAATGATCTGAGGACCCAAGCTTCCTTCTAAATGTCACCAAAGACAGGGCTGCCTTATCAACAAAAGCCAGGGACTCGAGACCGATAGGGGTGTCCAAAAGGGGACAGAGACAATAGCACAATATTAAGAAACAATGGGAAAGCTTCATCTTCTCAGAGTTCCCATGGCCTTGCTATTGGTTGTAAACTATTTTTCCCTTGTATAGATGAGTCATGCATCCCAATTCCTCTAAAAATACCCCAGAGCTGAATTAGTGCAAATACTCACCTTCATCCCTGGGATCCCAAGAGGACCCTATGTTGAAGAGAAAAAGGGAAAAAAATATCAGCAGACTGTATTGCAACATTCCCCCAAAAGCCTACAGAGCCAATGTACCACAGATGAAGTTTATTCCAACAGTAGTGGGACCAGGAGGTCATCATATCTGAAAATACAATCTAATTTCTACTACTACTACTATCTTGCATCTGACTTTCATTCCCTTTGTGACCTTGAACCAGCCCCTTCCCCTCCCTGGGCCTCAGTTTCCCCCTCTGTAAAGTAAACAGGTTGGACTAGATGGTCCCTAAGGTCTCTTGCAGCTCTAGAGTGAGGATCCTCTGTGTCACCTTGGATCAGCCCCTTCCCCTCTCTGGGCCTCAGTATCCCCCTCTGTAAAAGAAGGGAGTTAGAATCGTCGAGAGATTCTTAACTTGGGTTCTGTGAACTTGTTTTTCTAGTATTTTGATAACTGTATTTCGACATAATTGGTTTCCTGTGCAATCCTGTGCTTGATATCAGTCATTTTAGAAAACACTAATTCTGAGAAAGAATCCCTAGGCTTCAGACCGCCAAAAGGGTCCCTAACACAACAAAGCTTCAGAACCTCTAGAGTACTTAGATCCTACTTGTGATTTTAGACAAGTCTCTTCCCCTCTCTTGGCCTCAGTTTTCCCCTCTGTAAAATTAGAAGGCCATACTAGATGGCCTCTGAGGCTCCTCATGGTTCTAGAGCTAGGATCCTCTGATCTGATGTCACTCCATCTCCCTGGCCCTCAGTTTCCCTATCTGTCAAACAGGGAAGTTAGCTAGATGGCCCCTAAGGTCTTTTCCAGCTCAAGACCCATGACTATGACATTCGAAAATCCATTCAAACTCTGCAGGGAAATCTATCACGATTCTCCATTTGGGGATTCTTCTCAATCCTCGTCTAATTTCTTATTTCCCCATGTGCCAGCCCACCCCTGCTGCATTTCAGTGAACCAAGAGACCAGTTTCCCTTCCCCTCCCAACCCCAGCCTCTTCACTGATTCTAATGTGGGTTTCTTATTATTCAAATTCAACACCTGTAACTTACTGGGGGACCTGGTAAACCTGGAACACCAGAAATGCCTGGGAATCCACGTTCCCCCTAGACAGGAAAGAAAAAGAGGGTAGGAGGATGAATGAATGAACGAACAAACAAATGAACAAATGAATGAAAATGTATACTTAGAGACAAGAATATGAAGTAACTTTGTGAATATACAAGTTGGCTGAAAGTTACGGTCTAAACTACTTCTCTAAAAGACTTTTGAAAAAGTCAGATTAGAACAAATGAAGATCGGCATATTTTTTAGAACCTGACTGGCCACTAATCAATCACAAGCCTGCCCTCACTTATCAGTTGCCTTCTCTCCAAGCTTATCACTTCCTTATTCCCTCTCCATTCATTATTCAAAAGGGGCCCTACTCAGCCCTGTTCACCAAACCCTCATCCCTTCTGATCAAACCCAGGCAGAAAGAGAGAAAGCATCTTTCTTAGCCCTTCCGTTTACTCTGCATGCAGCTCCCCTCCTCACTCATACCCATAGCCACCTTCCAATTTATAAGGGTTAGGGCAGGGGTGGGGAACCTGCAGTCTCAAGGCCATATGTGGCCTTCTAGGTCCTCGAGAAGGGCCTTTTGACTGAGTCCAAGTTTTACAGAACACATCCTTTTATTAAGGGGATTTGTTCTGTGAAGTTTGGATTCAGTCAAAGGGTCACACCTGAGGACCCAGAGGGGGTTTGTTCTGTGAAGTTTGGATTCAGTCAGCGGCTGCACTTGAGGACCTAGAGGGCCACCTGTGACCTTGAGGCCACAGGTTCCCCACCTCTGGGTTAGGGAAACACTTGGGTGAGTATGGGTTTCTTTTGTTGGGTTGGGTTTTTTTCCCCCCCAGAGGCAGGAGAGGGGAACTGTTATAACCCAAAAGAGAATCATTCTAACAACTGCAAACTCGGATCCCGTTGTCAAGTGTTAGCCTACATTGCCAGTTTAGAAAACAAAGGGGGGCCGCTAGGTGGCGCAGTGGATAGAACACCAGCCCTGGAGTCAGGAGGACCTGAGTTCAAATCTGGCCTTGGACACATAACACTCACTAGCTGTGTGACCCTGGGCAAGTCACTTAACCCCAATTGCCCTCACCAAAAAGAAAAAGAAAGAAAAAAAAAACAAAGGGGAGAAATAATCAAGAATGCAACTCAACAAACATTCATTAAGGGCCTACTATGTACAAGGATATTCCATCTCCTACCTCCACACCTTTGCCTAGGCTGTCTGCCGACTTCTGGATGTTCTCTCTTCTCACCCCCACTTCCTAGAATCCCTCGTGACCTTCCAGGCTCAGCTAGGGCCTCCCCAAGAATTACCTTGTACATATTTCGTATATACTTCTATGGGCACGTGTCATCTGCTCTGATAGAATGTAAGCTCCTTGAGGGCAGGGACTGTTCCTTCTGTCTTTGTATTCCCCAGTGTCTCAACACAGAGCCTGACATGTAGCCGTTACTCAATAAATGAATTAATTCGTCACTAGGCAAAAACAAAGTCAAGAATCTGACAGTCCCTGCCCTCAAGGAGCTTATATCGCAAAGGAAGAGAGCATGTATACAAATAATCATGAAATAGGCACAAAGTAATTTGAGGGGCAAACACTAACAAACAGCAGGGAGAGGATCAGGAAAGGACTTGTGTTGGAGGTAATGCTTGAGCCAAGCCTTGAAGGCCACCAGTGATTCCAAAAAGGGGAAGTGAAGTGGGAGAACATTGAGGGATAGCCCATGCAAAGACATGTACAAGCTGTGTCACTCTGGGCAGGTTACTTTAACCTCTCTCAGGCTCAGTTTCCTCACCTGTAAAAACGGAGATGGGGGGTAATGATAGTGCCTACCTCGTGCAGTTGTAAAGATCAAACAAGATAAATACATGTAAAGTGCTTTGCAAATCTTAACGTGCTGTATAAATGGTAGCTATAATTATTATTTCTAAATCTTTTCTTCTTAGAAGAAATGAATCCCTCTCAGGTATGAATATTAATATTGTATGCCCTGAAAGTCTGACACTAACAAAGAAGCAAAGGCCTTGCCTTCCTAGCTACCCCTAATGGGCACACTTGTTACTGTTGTTCAGTTATATCCAGCTCTGCGCGACCCCATGGACCGTAGCACACCAATGCTACCCAGGGGGTTTTCTTGGCAAAGATACTGGAGTGGTTCACCATTTCCTTCTCCAGTGGATGAAGGCAACAGAGGTTAAGTGACTTGCCCAGGGTCACACAGATATTACGCATCTGAGGCTGGATTTGAATTCAAGGTCTTATTGACTCCAGGCCCAGCACTCTATCCACCAAACCATCTAGCTGCCCCTAATGAGCATAGTAAGTTTCTTTCAAATTGTGGCCAATTTTTGGACTCTTCATACAGACTACCCATAGGAACTGCTAGCTTTTTCTTGAAACGGTAACCCTTCAAAACACATAAACCACAATGTGTATTGCAGGTGAGATACTATATGGCAGGGGTGAAGAACCTGTGACCTCAAGGCCACATGTGGCCCTCTAGGTCCTCAAGTGTGGCCCTTTGACTGAACTGCTAAGAGGATTTGTTCTGTGAAATTTGGATTCAGTCAAAAGGCCACAGTTGACGACCCAGAAGGGATTTGTTCTGTGAGGTTTGCATTCAATCAAAGGGCTGTACTTGAGGACCTAGAGGGGATTTGTTTTGTGAAGTTTGGATTCAGTCAAAGGGCTGCACTTGAGGACCTAGAGGGTCACATGTGGCTTTGAGGCCACAAGTTTCCCACCCCTGGGCTAGAGTATAAAAAAAAGAAAACAAAACAGATTAGGGATAATGGTGTATTTATCCCTTAGAAAACACCATCTCAGGGGCAGCTAGGTGGCGCAGTGGATAGAGTACCAGCCTGGAGTGAAGAAGACCTGAGTTCAAATCCAGCCTCAGACACATAACACTCACTAGTTGTGTGACCTTGGGCAAGTCACTTAACCCTGATTGCCTCACCAAAAAAAAAAAAAGAAAAAAAAAAGAAAACGAAAACAAAAACAGCATCTCATAAGGGAAAAAAAAAAGAATTCTAACACTGTGCTAAGTGGAAGATACAGTGTGCCTATCACCATCCCAAGAAGACCCAAAAGGATGTTAGATAAGATGATCTTTCACCATGTCCAGGGCCTGCATTGTACCACGCCTGCAGTTCTGCATCCCCTGGAAAACAGCTTTTACACCTTACTCATCATAGCAGTTGGAGGCTTTATGCAGAGGTGGGGAATTATGGGTGGGGAACGTGGCATATTCCAATTTGACCACTCTGCTAGGTGGCTGTGATGAGCTGATTTTTTTCTAGGGGACAGGGGATCTCTTTATTCTTGGTTACAACAGACAGCTCACTGGGGAGGGAAAGGGAGAGGGACATATTCAGAAATGAAGGGGACACAAAAGGGAAAGCATGATACAAACATTTTTGGACCACGCAAATATGCAGAACTGGTTTGCTTGGCTATGTTTAGCTGTTAAAAGGATTGTGTTTTGATTTCTTTTATTTGGGGAGAGGGATAGGGAAGGGTGGAAGCAACCTGATGCTGAGAGAGAAAACAAAAAGAAAAGAAACAAAAGATAGTGGAAACACTTTCAAAAATGCAAAGAGAAGAGAAGGAAAGCAGTTCAGAGAGAAACAGACAAGCCAGAGAGCTTTGAAAGTAACAGGTTGAATTTATGATAAACTTTCTTTAAAAGCAAGTTCTACATAACAAACATTCATGACTTTAAATGTAATCATCTTTTCTGTCCTACTTTGCAAATGCTTTTTTGTTCATGAAATTCAGACTACAAGTAGAAGACATGAAGGGGATGTAAAAACAAAAGATATCGATACTTAAAAAATATAACTACACCTTTGGTGACTGAGGGAAAAAAATGAACGCAGGCTGTGAAGAGGTGGAAGGACACTCTGAATTGGAATTTTATCTGCTAATAAAAAAGTTCAATTTGATCCCTTTCAGACACTTATGTTAACTGCAACTTGGTTAACGAAGTGTGGGCCTAATGCCAGGACTGGCTTTAATGTATAATAGAAGAGCTTTAATACATAATGGACCTTTTCAGGTTTATTACATTTAACTCTCTTTCACATACTCTGCAGCCAAGCCAAACTGGCCACCTCGCTATTTCTCACGAGGCTCCATTTCCCACTTACATGCCTTCGTCTCTCATGCCTAGAATGCATTTCCGCCTCAGTTCCATCTCCTGGAATCCCTAGATTTCTTCAAGACTCAGTTCAAGTTCCATCATCTCCATATGGCCTTTCCTGTTCTCCTTAAGTGCTGTCTTTCCCCCCTCCACTCAAATCACCTTGTATTTTTTCAGGGCAGCGAGGTGGCCCTGCAGTGTGCAGAGTGCTGGGCCTGGAGTCAGGAAGACTCATCTTCCTGAGTTCAAATCTGGCCTCATATACTTCCTAGGTGTGGGACCTTGGGCAAGTCACATCACTCTGCTTGCCTCGGTTTCCCCATCTGTAAAATGAGCTGGAGAAGGAAATGGCAGACCACTCCAATATCTATGCCAAGAAATCCCCAAATGGGGTCACAGAGAATCAGATACAACTGAAAACCAACATTTTTTTCAGTCTATAATCTCATGTATCTCTAGATGTTGATGTTGTCTGTCCTACCGGAATATAAGCTTCTTCAGAGTAGGAGCGAGTCCCCTTCTGTATTTGCATCCGAGGCACCTAGCATGATGTTTGGCACTGAGTAGGTGCTTTTAAAATCTCTCATTGACTGAAAGATTCATCACTAGCACTGCAGCAAAGGATACTGGGAAGGTTGGCTCTGGCCTCAGAAGAGCTCAATTCTCCTCTGGATTCTGTCTCTTGCTAGAAGCATATGTATGACCTTGTAGGGTAAACTTTAGCCCAGCCTCAGTCTAATCACACCTTCCAAAGGGCATATTCACATCAATCCCAGGTCAAATTCCCAAGTGCTCTGGATAAGTGGCTGCCCCCCTACCCCAAAGCTCACTTATTCTCCTTAGAATTATCAGTCTATTGTATACAATAACAGCCACGTTGTGAGATGACTAATATTGATAAACTTAACCCTTCTCAGCCATACAAGGATCTAAGACATCTCCCGAGGCCTCGTGATGGAAAATGCTATCCACATCCAAAGAAAGAACTATGGAAGTTGAATCGCTATCATTTTGTTTTTCTCTTCTGTTGAGTTGTTTCCTCTTTCTGATGGTTCCTCCTATTGGTTTTAATTTTTACTTACAGCTTCACTAATGTGAAAATATGTTTAATAGAATGTAAATGTATAGACTATATCAGATTGTGCGCCGTCTTGGGGAGGGTGGTGGGGAGGAAGGGGGAGAAAAATTTGAAACTCAAAAGCATATGGAAGTGATTGTTGATAAATCAAAATAAATTAATAAAATTTTAAAAAACCAAATTAGATCGAAAAAAAAATAGAATTATCAGTCTAGGAAACATATTACCAAGGTAAAGTCACAGTAGACTCACCTTTGTCCCGTTGCACCCTGGGATGCCCTGAGGTCCTGGGGCTCCATTAAGGCCTGGCATTCCCTTGTAAGGGAGAACAGAACATTTTATCTATAATGAGTCTCAGGAAAGAATATTCTCCAAAAATAATTACAAAAACAATAAAATCCAGAAAAAAAAATTAATGAGAAATCAAATCCTACTTACAGGAAGACCTGGTGTCCCTGGGAATCCAGGAAGTCCAGGGGGCCCCTAGGAGAAGAAACACAGTATTTCACGAGTCCCATTAGTATCATCATCTTAGCATCATGGATTTAGACCTTGAAAAGACCCAACACCATCTGAGTTAATCTCGCCATTTTAGAGATGGAGAACCTTTGGTCCAGGAAGGTAAAATTATTTGCCTGAAGGCCCACAAAGGATCTGAGATCTGGAACTGGAAAGAATCTTAAAAAGCCATCCAGTCTAACTGCCTCATTTTACAGAGGGGGAAACTGAGGCACAAAAAGGGGGAGTGACTCACTCACAGTCCCAGGTAACAAGTATCAAAGCCAGGATTCAAAGCCAACTCCTCTGAATCCATACCCCCTTTCACCACTCTCTTGCGGATGGTTTCTTAAAAACTAGAAATTTAAGGGGCAGCTGGGTGGCACAGTGGATACAGCACTGGCCCTGAAGTCAGGAGGATCTGAGTTCAAATCCTGCCTCAGACCAAACACTTGACACTTACTAGCTGTGTGACCCTGGGCAAGTCAGTTAACCCCAATTGCCTAAAAAAACAAAAACAAAAAAAACTAAAAAAAACCCTAGAAATTTAAACTTGAAATGAGAGTCTATGACCTCCAACAAAAAATTGGTGCTCACTCAAGTTCTCCCTAGAACCCAGCCTGGGAGTTCTAGGTGGAAAGTTATGTTTAGGAGAGTTCTAGTGCCTTTTAGTCCAGTGGGAACAGGCAAATGGGTGGTTGAATGTGTCTGCCCTGCCACTAAAGGGCCTCTTGGGATTCTGTGGTAAATGGTAACCTTTAGACAGTCAATCAACCAACAAGTGTGTATTACTCGGTCGCCTACCATGGGCCAATGTGCCTTAGTGAGCATCAGGAATATAAGTACAAAGAATGAAACAATCCCCCATCCTAGTGAGTTGCCATCCTCATGGGGTAGATCATAAGCACACAGAACAAGGCACATAGTACAAACTGAAAATCACACGCACGGAAATAAATACGATGTCCTTAAATACAAGGTTGTTTGGGAGGGAGAGCACTGAGCAATTGGAGGGTGAGAGGAAGGGTTTCATGCAGAAAATGGAGCTCAAGGTGTGTCTTAAAGGAAGAGAGAGACCCTATGAGGCAGAGGTAAGGGGAGAGGGCATTCCTGGGGTGGGGGACCACCAGAGAAAAGGAGACAGGAGATGGAGTGGCTTGGATGATGACTACCAAGAAGTCCATTTTGGTTGGACGACAGAGTTCAGAAAGGGAAGTCACAAGACCAAAAAGTAGGTTGGGGCAAAGTGGCAAAGGGCTTTCAAAGCTAAATGAAGGAGTCTGTATTTTATCCTAGAAGGGACAGACAGCCACTGCAATTGATGAAGTAGGAGAGTCACATGGTCGGATCAGTGCTTGAGGAAAATCACTTTGGCAGTTTTGAGGAAAATGGATTGGAGTGATGACAGACTTGAGACCCAGAGACCAATTAGGAGGCTGCAGCAAGAATCAAGGCAAGGGGTGATAAGGGCCTGGATTAAAGTGGTAGTTGTCTGAGTGGAGAGAAGGGGTCACAAACGAGAGATGTTACAGAGAAAGAAATTGCAAGATTAGGCAACTGATTGGCTACATGGGGTGGGGGAGAATGAGGAGTCTCGGGGAACACTGAACTTACATGGAAGGAGCAGAAAGGAAAAGGCCTGAAAAGGTGATTTGGCTAATGAAAGGCTTCTACAGAAATCAATCTATCAATAAGCATTTATTAAGCATCTAGGAGGTGCCAGGCATTATGCTGGGTGCCGAGGACCCAATGCTAAAAAAAGAACCACTCCATATCCTGGAGGGGCTGACGTTCTAACAAGGGAGACGTGAACTAATGTACGAAAACTCCCAAAAGCATCATTGTCCTTTGGGACACCAAGCACGCCCAAAGCAATTTGGACTCTAATAGCTGAGGAGATTGGGGAGGCCTCAGGTAGGAAGGAGCCAGGAAGGAAGCTGAGGATTCTAAGAGGTAGAGATGGTGGCCAGCCTGGGCAAAGGCACGGAGACAGGAAATGACGAGGAAAAGCAAGGAGGCCAGTTTGGCCCAAGGCCAGAGTGCACAAAGGAGAGCCAAGCTTTTGATTCTGAACAGAGGGGTCAATAGTTGATCCCACGTCCATATCTAGTGCCACTAGAGCTTATCGAGTAGAGGAGTGACTGTCACTTTGGCAGCTGTAACACAGGACAGATCAGAAAGGGTCCCAGGCTTAGAGGTGGAAAGGACATTAGCAGTCAGCTAGTCCAAGCCCCCATTTTACAGACGGGTAAACTGAGGCCCAGAGAGGGGAGTTGCTTTACCCAACTTCATGCAGACGGTAACTGGCAGAGGGTAGGATTCAAACTAAGGGCCTCCACCTCCAAATCTAGCTCTGTTTCCATTGTCTGGTGACTTGAGGCAGGGAAATCAATTAGGAGGTTCTTATGATGGCCCAGGGGGGAGAGAGAGGAAGCCCTTAACTCAGATGGCTATGGATAAATACCCGCTGATCCTAGTCGACTCTTTTTCTGAGGCTATCTGTTAGGGTTTGTCCTGGAATTGAATGGTTTTCTAGTAGAGACCAGTGGATGGATGTCAGAGGGCAACTCTGGGGATGCCTGGCTGCAGATAGCTCGAACCCCAGCCTCACTTATTTCTCTGAAACATTATTCATTCTCCCAGAAGTGGCCTCCCCTGGGTCCTCAGGCTCCAGACTCTCACTGATGTCAGAATCCTGAAAGTAGTAATGACAGTGGAGGTCATGGAGCAGGCAGGTGTGAGCATGTGGGTGGGAGGGAACATTCCTTGTCGGGGGTTGTTATTTTTTTTTTAAAGATAATCACTGAACTTGAGCTTTGTTCCCTGTGGTAGGAGCAGTATCTACTACTAATCTGATTGGGACCCAAGGACTAGAAGGTCCCTGCTACATAAGCTAGGTATTCCTCAGAAGAACAAGGAAACCATCCTCAATGGTCTACAAATAAGTTGTTTAATTCCAATCCTGAATCAGAACCATTGGCATGAGTAAGGTCCCACCCAGAACATTCCCATGTCTGTCACTACTCTGAGGAGGCTGAGACTGGTGGATCAACTGAACTTAAGAGTTCTGAGCTTGAGTATGCTAAGCCAATCAGGTGTCCACACCAACATAGTAAGTGAGGCTGGAGGAGCAGGGGGCTACCAGGTTGCCTATGGGAGAGGGGCAAACTAGCCCAGGTCAGAAATGGAACAGGTCAAAGCTCCTATGCAATCAGTAGTGGCATCAGGCCTGCGAGTGACTACTGCATATCCAGCCTGGCCACAATCTGGAGACCCAGTCTGTTACAAAAAAAAAGTCTAAAAGAAGGCTGACATCTATCCTCCCAACCACAAATGTTTTATGCAAGTATATCAGAAACTCTTAAGGACTCCTATCTGGCTCAGAAAACCAGCCACATAAATCAGCCTTAACCAGCCATGGATTTTATTCTGCCCCTCCCTTTTCCCCAAACTGTCTTGTATTTATTTATCACTGAAATTGCCTTTTATCTATTCTGTATATACTAATGATGGGGGATGGGATTCACGCTGGACCCCTAAAAGAAAAAAACCCTGAACTTTCCCACAGATTTCAGGAACCCTGTCACTGGCATTCTGCTGAGGCATCTGGCCCACCTCAGCCCACCTTGATTATTTAATTAGCTTGACACTCCTTAATCCCATCCAGACCCTTCCTCTATTGCCTCTGGACCACCCCAGGCTACTTGCCACTCCTAGATCCCATCCAGATCTTCCCACAGTCTTTCTGCATAAAAATACCAATGTTACCCCCATTAAATTGCATGGATTCTTAGAATCTGGCCCACTTGTATTGGTGTCACAAAATACCACAGACTCACTAGGAATCTCGCCCACCCGACTGATATCATAATAAACTCATTACTTGGACTGAAAGAAGGCTTGAATGGTTGAATTCTTTCAAGGCAGACCCGCCCTATACCCTTGCATTCGGGGTTCCTAGCACCTCTAGACCACATCACTAGTATATGGGCATGTTGTCTCCCTCATAGAATGTAAACTCCTTGAGGGAGGAACTGTTTCATTGTCTCTGTATCCAGAGCTTAGCTCAGTGCCTGGCACAGAGCAGGAGGTTAATAAACACTTGTTGACTGATAGAAATCAAGTCACCCTAAGGAGGGAAGACAGTTCTATTGTTTAGTTACTTCCAGAAATAGTTAAAATTTGATATAAGACAAACAGCTTAATATATTTGTCCCTGACCACTGACTAAAAGGAATGTTACAGCTGGTACATAATTAAAATCCAACATTTTCTGACATCAAATTCTTTATAAGCCTTTTCCAATCATATCAAGTTGTTGAAACAGACATTCAGGAAATAAACTATGGTGAAAAAAAAATAACAGTAGCTCTCCAAATGTAAAAGAATTGCTTAGGACAACTTGAAATCTGCACCTACTTTTTAATTTAACTTTTAAAAGAAATTATTCTCCCACTGGCAATGCATTTCAGTATGTTCTGTTATGGTCTACTAGATGCAATTCACTTACCTTTCTTTGGAATCAGCTAGTGAAGCACCTCAAATATGACATTCTATAACTATCATTTGACTTACCCTGATTCCCTTCGGGCCCAGTGGCCCAGGAGCACCGTCATCACCCTGCAAAAATGCCACAAAACTGTTAGAGATGATTTCCCAGGGAGGTCTCTAATCACTGATGTTCTAATTGGGAATAAGTAAGCTGTAAAGCTTGGCTAATTTGCTTAAGGAAAACATACTGTCACCCCCCCCCCACCGCACCCCCCCCCACTGGGGCTGAAAGCCTAGCAATGAGATGCCTTGTCAAGGAATACTAGAAACGTGCATTTAATTTCTTTTGTTGTTGATTTCGGTGTTTTTTATATTTTTAAAGGAAATCATCCATTTTCTTTTACTTCTCAGTTCTGCTGGCATATACTCATGTGTAGCAATTTTAGATCAGTCTCTTTATTCCATTTTTCTTCTTGGTGAATCCTGTTCATTTTTCATTTTTATAATTTGATTGTCCCTTTAAAAAACACATTAATGATTTGTTGATTTTTTTTGTTTTCGAAAAACCAGCTCTTTATTTTTATCAATCCAAAAGATCTTTGTATTTTTTCATTTTTCCACGATTTTCAGATTTTTGTGCTTATTTTGGGATTGTTCATTTGATTTTCCATGGGTTTTTCCTTTTTAATACAACTTCATTCATCCTACTGATGGCTTACACTTACACAGTTTTAGGTTTTGCTTTTAATCTCACATAAAGTGGCCTTTCTCTTTGCCAAGGTCAACCCCCTCTACATACGCCCTTGATCTCACCTCTTCCAACTTGCCCCTTCCATCACCTTCTGTCTCTTTGTCATCTTCATTATCTCCTTATTCATGGGCTCCTTCCTTGCAATCTACAAATACTCCCAGATCTCCGTAGTTTCGGAAAATAAACAAACAAAACCCTACTTCATGGAACTCTCCCATCTCCTTATGTTATTGGCCTATCTTTTCTTTTCCCTTTCACAACTTGGGGGGGGGGGTGTCTACTCAGCTATACTTCCTGACCTCCGATTCATTTTTTTTTTTTAGGCAATTGGGGTTAAATGACTTGCTTAAGGTCACACAGCTAGTAAGTTGTCTGAGGCTGGATTTGAACTCAGGTCCTCCTGACTCCAGGACTGGTACTCTATCCACTGCACCACCTCCCATTCACTTTTTAAAAAAAGTTTTAGTGATGCTTTATGGTTGAAATCACATTCATTTCAGGATATACCTGCCCAGTTCCCACTCCCCTAGCAGCTACAATAAGACTGGAACTGACTGCATATGCAACACTCCACACCCATAGTCTCCCACCTGCCCAACAAAAGGAGGGTGCTGCATTTCTTCATTTCTTCTCTAAGGCCAAGATTGTTCATTATTAATTACAATGGGTTAGTTTTAGGTTTCCTTTTATTATTCTTTTTATTGATATTATTGTATTCATTATGCATAGTGTTTTTGAGGCCCTAATAATTTTGTTCCTCTACCACTGTGGTGCCAGTGATTTACTACCACAACATTTGTTTAATAAATATTTCCTATACAGAGAACTTCCATTCCTTGACTTCCCTTGGGAAGACTCCTAACAGTGGGAACAACAACACTGGTTCCATAAAACCCGTTTCTTTCTTCCTGCAGGTGAGAGGGGGGACAAAGGGGATTATGGATACCAAATATCAATTGATAAGCGAGGTGACCCAATCAGTGAGTTGTTTTTCTTCTTTTAAGTCTGATGGCTACTATCCTGCTCCTATTCAACAGGAGAGATGTGGACCTCGATGAGCCCATACCCATGCCCCGGAGTGAGTGTGCCCTGACCCCATGGGGCATAGATGCTGAGTGACAGCTAAGCTTCTCGTGGTGCTTTGAGAATAGCTGACCCTCTTTCCCTCAGTTTGGCCTCTCTCTGCAGAGCGGTGAAGCGATCACACTATCTACACTAGGGGTTCTGAACAGTTTTTGTGTCCTAGGCCCCTCCTCACTGGGGAAGTCTAGGGATCTCATGTCAGAATCATGTTTTTAAATGCCTAAAATAAAACACACAGAATTAAGGAAATAAAGAAGTCACTTATTTTTCCTATCCAAGTTCACTGATTCCCTGAACTCTATCTTGGGTCTGTGGACCCTTGAACTAGAGGCTGTGGCTCAGAATCAGCTCCTCTCTGACCTTGCCAAATGAAACCTAGCCCTAGGCATGTGACCTTGGCACAATGCAGTCCCTCGCCACAGAACCAAACATACTTAACTGCAGGACAAACAAAAGCAGTCAACAAACCAGAATTGGACATCTGAGTGGCCAGGCATCCACCAGAGTCCTTGCCCACAGGAGCTCCCAGACAAACTCTTCTGACTCCAGCAACCCTAGCAAGTGCACAGTTCAGTTTGTTTAGTGCTCTCTGGCCTGACCTCCTGCCAGCAGGCAAAGGAGAACAGACATTAAACTGGTTTGAAATTGATACTTGAATCCTGCATTCAGCAGTGCCAGCCAATCACTGGGTGAAGACTCATTCTGCAAGAACTCTGGAACCAAACCATAACAAAAACAACAATCATGATAACTAACATTTATTTATTGAACACCTACTATGTGCCAAGTAGCTAGGTGGCGCCGCAGTGGATAGAGCGGATTTCGGGCCTGGAGTCAGGAAGACTGAACTTCCTGAGTTCAAATCTGGCCTCAGACACTTACTAGCTGTGTGACCCTGGGCAAGTCACTTCACCCTGTCTGCCTCAGTTTCCTCATCTGTTAAATGGGGTGGCTGGAGAAGGAAATGGCCAACTACTCCAGCATCTCTACCAAGATAACCCCAAATGGGGTCATAAAGAGGCAGACGTAACTGAAAAACAACTGAACAATAACAAATGTGCCAGCCACTGTGCTAAGCATTTTATGAATATCATTTCATCTGATCCTCACAACTTCCCTGAGAGGTAGGTGCTATTATGGAGGCCCATGACCTCTCTCTGTTCCCTTGTCTCATCGATTACCCTCCTGCTCCCCTATTGAGCCAAAAGCCCCACCCCTCCATGCAGTGGGAGAAGGGCCAGAGAGAGTAAAAGGGATGCTATATCCTCCTTCCTCTATGAAAGTCCCTAGCAAATGCATGGATATACATATAGATACACATACATACATACATACAGATATGTATACACACATGCACATACATACAGATATGTGTACACACACATGCATACATACAGATATGTATACATATATATGCACATACATACAGGTATGTATGCATGTGAACACACCTATGTATGTGCATAAATACATATGTGCGTATAAACATCTGTGTGCATTTTCATTTAGCCTATAACTGTTGAAGACTATTATCATCGCAGATTCAAGGCACAATACACACGCAGAAGCCTAATTCATTCACACTGGGAAGACATGCAGCTCACGTGAGTGCATGCCAGCAACCCAACAATAGCAGCCGCCATGCATTATTTAGAATGGCCATATGAAAATACATACTACACACACATATAGCAATAGAACATGCAAAGTGTAGCATGCCAGCAGAAGGAGGCGACAAAAGAGGTGAATGCAGTTGTAAAAACACTGCACAGGTCATGCACAACATGTCACATATGTTGCAGCTATATACAAAACATATTTTTCGTATGTTCCTACGCTGGGCATCATCTGCCAATCACTTCTCTCCTTTCCTCTGATGCATTATTAGCAAGCTAGGTCATAGGTCAAATAGGCCAGCACTTCCAGGGTGCCCTCAGGAGCTGGAGAATGGCACAGGAGAATTCTTCATCTACAGCCCCAATTCCAAGCCCTGGATGGATGGCCTAAGTGATTCTATACTTAGCTACAGGCTCTTGGGACACTCCCCAGTTCCCTAGGTATGCCTACAGCTGGAGTATTCCATCGAAAAGGAACTGCCTTGAGATTTAATCCTCCCTTCCTGTCTGAACACGATATACCTCTGGGAACAGAAAAGCCAGCCTCTCTAAGGGTCCCAGGACTCATACCCCTTCCTCATCTGAGTTCCAGCCATCCAAACTATTTATCAGTCAGTCCCTCAACAACTGACAATCAGGCTCTTCCTCTCAAGAGGCTCCATGATTAATTTTCCATTACTGCTTTTCCCTTGCTTCAGAGAGTTTGACTGACTTTCCAACAGGCAGTAGTTGGCTATGACATATTATCTCTATGAGGCTCTGAAAATTCTCTGGGCCTATCTCAAAGGCAAAGAAACTGTCCACCAGCCATGTTTGGCATGGGGTGCCTTTCCATCAGTCCATTATCTTATGTTTCATGCACATCAAGAGTGCTTAACAAAACTTTGCTGGTATCTTGGTCTTGAATCTAGCCATTTTACCATCACTTGTTTCAATCAAAGCCTCTCTGAGCTCAGGGCACAGCTGGGTAGTAGGCCTTCTTCCACCAATCAGCTGTTCCTCTTCCTGAGAATGCAAAGCACCAATCAACAGGCAGACATGGCACTTGGTTCAAATCTCACCAAGCATGGAGTAAGCTACGATATCGTTCCTGACAGCATTGGATACTTGCACTAGAAATGTCACCTGTTGGCTTTTCTTCAGACCTCACAGTCCCTAGAATGTATAGCAGAGGGAGTCCTAATCACTCGGGCTGTGTGTCTCCCTGTGTGGCTCTACACTTCTGATTTCTGCACAGGATGACATCACTGTAAGTGGTTTGCTTTCAAAGTCTCCCATGGTCAGAGTTGATTTTTTTTGCTTTTTGGTGAGGCAACAGGGGTTAAGTGACTTGCCCAGGGTCACACAGCTAGTAAGTGTCAAGTGTCTGAGACCAGATTTGAACTCAGATCCTCCTGACTCCAAGGCCAGAGCCCCATCCACTGCACCACCTAGCTGCCCCACTCAGAGTGGATTTTAACCAACAATCTATACACAGAGGAATGCTTCTTCCTTCCTAGTACCATCAAAACTGTAGAAGCTTTCTGAGTCCTACTCATGGTCTATACTTCCTTGTGATTGGGGCAGGGAGAGAGGAAATGTGAAGTTATGTGGGGAAATGACTGTGTAAAAAATAGAAGGCATCAATAAAACTGGATAGATGGATGAATGATAGTTGTTGTTCAGTTGTTTCAGGTGTGTCCAATTCTCCATGACCCCATTTGGGGTTTTCTTGGCAAAGATACTCGAGTGGTTTGTCATTTCCAGTTCATTTTACAGATGAGGAAACTGAGGCAAACAGAGTGAAGTGACTTGCTCAAGGTCACACAGCTAGTAAGTGTCTGAGGCCAGATTTGAACTCATGAAGATCAGTCTTCCTGACTCTAGGCCTGGCGCTCTATCTGTTGCAGCACCACTCAGCTGTGTGGATGGATGGAAACCTTTGCAAATCGGGGGACAGACAGAGGGACCATAATAACTATACAGTTTGCTGCAACTGCCTGACGGTCCTTTGGGCTAGTCAATAAAAACAAAAATGAATGATGGGGCACTGCCTCACTTCAGTAGCTGGCCCCAGCTATAACCACTGATGACCACTGACATAACAACTGATGCTACCAAAATCAGTCAATTCCAGAGAAGCCTGTTGCTTGTTACCTACCTTTTGGCCTGGAGGCCCAGGAGGTCCTTCTGCTCCAGGAAATCCAGGTAAACCTGGGTGGCCTTCCAAACCTGGAAGTCCTCTCTCTCCCTGGAAAAAAAAAAAAAGAAATGAAAGGTAAGACCATTGCATAAGGAAGTGGGTAGAACCAATAAAAGTACCAAGCAAAGTAGTCTATTGTTTATTTGGGTCCTCAGGTAAAGACTGAGAAGCAGGGGCGGGAGGTGGGGAGTAGTGTCTATTCTTTCTTCTATCTAGGCATCCTAACTGTCCCAGACTAGGGAAGTTTTATTGTTGTTATGCTGGTTGTTTAACTTTCATTGTAATTGCTAATAATAAATGATCATCAAGTGAAAGAAAGAAAGAAAGAGAAATAAAGAAAGGAAGGAAGGAAGGAAGGAAGAAAGAAAGAAAGAAAGAAAGAAAGAAAGAAAGAAAGAAAGAAAGAAAGAAAGAAAGAAAGAAAGAAAAAGAAAGAGAGAAAGAAAGAGAGGAAGGAAGGAAGGAAGGAAGGAAGGAAGGAAGGAAGGAAGGAAGGAAGGGAGGGAGGAAGGAAGGAAAGAAGGGAGGAAGGAAGGAAAGAAGGGATGAAGGAAGGGAGGAAGGAAGAAAGGAAGGAAAGGAGGAAGGGAGGGAAGGAGGGAAAGAGAAAGAAAGAAAAGCAAGGTCACAATGGAATCCAAACACCCAGATAACTCTCACTTTAATTCAGCCAATGGCATCGAACATACAGTTGCCATTGCCCTAGAAAAATCACCAAGATCTTACTGGCCAAAAACAAAATGTGTAACTGCTAAGTGTGTGTAGTATTATGCTTCCCTGTGGAGGGAAAAAAAATAATCAGATATGAAATGAACTTTTCAAACACGAATGTAAAACCTTTTACAGGGAAAGGGCTGCTTAACCAGCCTGAAAGACGTGTGGGGGAATAAATACATATGGTCTCAGGATGCGTGATATAGGATGATTAGAACAGAAACAAGGATAGGCCACTAGGTGGCACAGCAGTGGTCCAGAAAACTGGCCCTGGAGTCCAGAACACCTGAGTTCAAATTCAACCTCAAACACTAGTTTTGTTTCTAACCTCTGTCTACCTCAGTTTCATCATCTATAAAAAGGGGAGACCAACAGTACCTACCTCCCAGGGTTGATGTGAGGGCAAATTTAGATAATATCTGTAAAATGCTTTGCCAGCCTTGAAGCACTTTATAAATGCTAGTGATGATGGTGATGGTGAGGGAGCCCAAGGGTTTTTAACCTTTTTTGTGTTGTGGACTACTTTGGCAATCTAGTGAAGCCTATGGATCCATTCTCAGAATCATGTTTTTAAATGAATAAAATAAAATACAGATTACAAAGGAAGCTAATTATTTTGAAATACAGTCAACAACATACTTTGTTTTGTTTTGTTTTGTTTTTGGTTAGGCAATGGGGTTAAGTGACTTGCCCAGAGTCATACAGCTAGTGAGTGTTATGTGTCTGAGGCTGGATTTGAACTCAGGTCCTCCTGACTTCAGGGCTGGTGCTCTATGCACCGCGCCACCTAGCTGCCCAACAACATATTTTTTTAAAAATAAGTTCATTGGCCCAAGGCTCAGAAGCACTGGTGTAGACAAACAGCAAGAATTACTCATGAATCTCTGAATATGGTATCCAGGTCTGAAGAAACTTGACAAACCCCAGGACCTGTAGTTTGTTACCTGACCTACTTGTGATTAGTGTTCCCAGGTACTTGGGGTCAGCTAACAGACCCTTAGTACAACTGCAGAAGGCTGTGGTTCATTTTCTCTACATCATAATAAAAATGCAGAGACCCCAGCCCATACCTCAGGCCACTCTGAATCAATCCAGAGTCTGGATAGAGTCAATTCACAAACCTGGAGCTATACAGGAGGCTTCATTTCACAGAACCAGGCCTATTTTAAGGAAAATGCCCAGGCCAGCCATGTGAACATTCCTCTCCAGGCTCCACTCCTGACTTTCTGGACCTTCTCTACCACCTCCCTAAGCCAGCACCTTCCCTCAACCCCTTTTCAATTGCCTTTTCTTCACTGCCTTCCCTCATTAGATTGCAATCTCCTTGAGGGCAGGAACTGTCTTTCTGCTTGTATTTGTATCCCTAGCATTTAGCATAGTGCCTTGCTATTAAGTAATTACCTAATAAATGCTTGTTGACTTCACTCAACACTAGTGAATACATACCTGTTTTTGGTATTTGTGTCCCCTAGGGGAGTTGTATGTTATAATAATAATAACAATAACAACAGCTAACATTTATATAATACTATGTGCCAGATACTGTGCTAAGCACTTTAAGATGATTATCTCATTTGATCCTCAAAACAACCCTGTAAGGTGTGTGCTGTTCGTATCCCAATTCTACAGTTGGGGAAACTGAGGCAAACAGGGTTAAGTGACTTGGCCAGGATTACACAGTTAGTAAGTGTCTGAGGCTGGATTTGAACACAGGTCTTCCTGACTCCAAAGCCAGAGCTCTATCCACTACAGCGCCACCTAGCCGCCCCAATGATATTACAAATGTTATAGAGTAAAGGCAGAGTAAAGGGCTGCTTCTGTGCCCTGAAATCCAGAATCAGACTAATTTATCTGCCAATAAGGATGGGCCATAGGATTTGAGAGCTAGAGCTGGAAGAGCCATCTTGTACAAACCACTCACTTATTTTACTGAAGAGGAAACTGAGACCCAGAAAAGCTAAATGACTTGTCCTATATCACACACAGGATTCTAAGTCTAGAGCTGAAAAAAACTTTAGAAACTATCCAGTGCAAACTCTTCATTTTACAGAAGGGGAAACTGAGGCCCAGGGAAAAGAAAGCTGGGGTCAGGACAGACTCAATTATCTCACTGAAGATGTGGTCCTCTTGGGAGATAAGAATCCCAGGTTGGAAGAGTGCAAAATTTATTATTTTCTACTGCTAAACACCTTTTATAGATGCATGGAATGAAGGAAGGGGGGAATGGACAGAGATGGTAAAGTCCAGACAGACTTCTAAGGAATACAGATGGAGTTAACAATTTTCATCAGTAGCCAGCACTCTCTTAGGACAGCTCAACCTAGCCGCAGGGAAATTAGAAAACTTTAGGATACATAGAGAAACCCATAAGATTAATAGCATTGTCCTCTGAGAGGCATAAACATAGCCCAATATAGGGTGTCTACTCACACTAATGAAATTACCAACTCTTGAAATATTCAAGTACTGATAACCAAGTAAGATATAAAAAGGCACGAGAACTAGCTAACAGAAAACCTGTACTTCCTGCCTTATGAAACTGAGCAAGAACCACAGCAAAGTCATCAATACAAAACAGCAGCTTCACCTTAGCCCACGTGGTGACATAGGAAGCTGGGGTTCCATATGTTAGGTCCATTCATGTGCTTTTGCAGCCTCCCCACCCCCCCGCCATGGTCATGTTCATGTCCATGGTTCACTGTTCAAATAAATATCAGCATAAATGTCTCTGTAAAGGATCTGTAAAGTATGTCTGTGGTTGGGGAGGCTCACACTTATTTAGAGGAAAAGTGTTTCAGCCAGGTGATTAGAACTAGATGCAATGAAAGAGAAGAAATAAAAGTGAGAAAATAAAATGAGAAAGAACAAAGTATTACATCAATAGATGTCTTGATAGACATTCTGAACAACTTACTAAGATCCTTCAGGGCCTTACCTTCTCCCCTTTTATTCCACCGCAGTCACACTTGGGTCCAGATGAACACCCATGGCAAGCCTTTAAAAAAAAAAAGAGAGAAGGGTTATTCTCAACCCAACACATCCTTGTACATACAGCATGTGCATAGATATGGTCCTCAGGCCTGTGCTGCCTCAGTCCTCTGAGGGCACAGGGAGAGTGATAAGAAGAGGGGATGGAGGTCCTAAAAATCACAGTTTGTAGACCATTGATAAATATTCATTTGGTTAACGGTACTCGCAATGCGACGTCCTCTTCCGATGACCAACACTTGGACATATTACCAAAGATAGGGAATCTCATCAATCATGCCATTCTCACTATAAATGAAGCCAGAAGGCAAAAGAAAATTGGAACAAAATAGACAGGTGGCTCACAGGTTCTCTGGGGAGAGGCAGATAAAGGAGGTGAAAGAGCCGATTTTATTGTGTATCCAGAGGCAACCAGAAACTTCAATTCACAGGACATTTTGGTCAGCCTGCATTGCAGGGCTCATGGTAAGTATTCGCAAAACAACCACCATGAAAATAATTGCAGTTTATGCATCAACATCTGTTGCTGAGAATAAAGTGGAAGTTGAATTGTATGAAGAAATCAAAAACACGCTCAAAATTAAATCAACATGTATGCCAATAATGGGTGATTTCAATGCAAAGGTGAGCATGGGGAAGGCTGGAGAAAAATATGTTGGAAAATATGCATCAGGAATAAGAAATGAAAGAAGCCAATAACTTAGAGAAGTCTCATGTCCCAACAGCACAAATACTCTCTTTGAGAAAAAATCAAGACCTGCTGGCAACAAATATCCCCCCCAAATCAAACTAATTATATTTTAATCAACAGGAAAAGACTCATTACTGGTGTAGGAATCATTTCAGAATCAGCTGTCTGTGCAGAGTCAGATCATTAAATTGTTAGAGCAAAAACCTAAATCAGTACAAAGGTAGAAAAAGAAATAAAAAATGAGCTAGGTTGCTGGATTTAGCATCAGGAAGATCTGAGTTCAAATTCTATCTCAGATTCTACTAGTTGTGTCACCCTGAGCAAATCACTAAGATCTTTCTCAGCCTCAGTTTCCTGATTTATAAAATGGGGATCATAATAGCACCTACCTCCCAAAGTTGCTGTGAGGATAAAATGAGATAATATTTGTAAAGCACTTTGCAAGCCTTACAACACTATCTAAATGCTACGATGATGATGATGATGATGATGTAAATTTTAAAAACTCCAAACTGACTTTTTTAAACTAGTCATTGCAAAGATGACCAAAGATGGGGATAGTCAATGTTGGAGGGGTTGTGGGAAGATAGGCATACTGGTGCATTGTTGGTAGAACTGTTTGGAATTATTCAAATAAAGTCTAAAATGTCCATAACCTTTGACCCAGAGATTCCACTACTAGGCTAGGAATCTGAGAAGGCCATTGATGAGAAAAAAGTTCCCACATACACCAAAATATTTGTAGCAGCACTTTTTGGGATAGTGAAAAATTAGAAACAAAGTAGATGTCAGTCGATTGAATAATGGCTAAACAAATTGAATTAATGTAAATCTAAACATGAATGTAAAAGAGTATTGCTATGTTGTAAGAAATTATGTATGTGATAAATACAGAAGCATGGAAAGAGCTATGTGAATTGTTGTAGAGTGAAGTAAGCAGAACCTAAAAACATATACACAATGGTTTATTGTTGTTGTTCAGTTGTTTAGTTGTATGTGACTCTATGTGACCCCCTGGATGTTGCCCATGGGATTTTCCTGGCAAAGATACCGGAATGATTTGCCTTTTCCTTTTCCAATGTGTCCCTATTTTACAGATGAGCAACCGAGGCAAACAGGGGTGGAGTGACTTGCCCAAGGTCACACAGCTAGCAATGATCTGAGGCCCCATATGAACTCAGATTTTCCTGACTCTGGGCTCAGTGCTCTAACCACTTTGCCACCTAGCTGCCCTATATCCATAATGGCTATCACAATGTAAAAAGAAAGAATCAAACACACACCAAAAAAATCAAAAATGAATGTTGCAAAATTACAGAGAACAAGCAGGATTCAGAAGACATATGAGAAGGCCCCATCCCCACCCTACCCCTCTGCAGAAGTGGGAGGTCCATGTGTCGTACATTGCACATATATTCACACTTTTTGGATGTATTGATCAGTTATGTTGATTTTTCCCCCCATTCTTTTTCTTCTTTTGCCTTAAAAATGCTATTTATTGGGGCAGCTAGGTGGCACAGTGAATAGAGCACTGGCCCTGGAGTCAGGAGGACTTGAGTTCAAATCTGGCCTCAGACACTTGATACTTAACTAGCTGTGTGACCCTGGGCAAGTCACTTAACCCCAACTGCCTCGCAAAAAAAAAAAAACCAACAAAGCCCCCCCCCCAACATGCTATTTATTCTATTGGATAGCTCTCTGGAAGAGGGAAGAGAAAGAACACTGTGAGAAACGATGGTAATGCCAAAAAAAAAAGACATCAATAAGACTTAAACCACTGGTATCAGAAATGGAAAATGGATAGAGAAATGAACATTGAAATGAATGATAACAGAGAATGTGTTGGAGGAGGGACACAATCTTGAGGCATCAATTCTCAAGATATCTGAGAGAAAACATGAAAAGTGGAAACAATTTTGGGGAAAAAAAATCTCAGACCTTATTATCCACATTCTTCCTCATGCCCCCCCCCAAAACCCCAAAGAGAATATGGCTATTTTTTCCATCTCTACTGTTTTTTTTCCCTTTTAATGAAAATAAGCTACACACACAACATCCTTGATGAAAATTGGAGAAAAGAATAAGCGAGCTTTTACAAATGATATTCTACAGCAGCCCACATCTTTATAATTACACAACTGACTGAACAGTAGAAAGAATATACTGGGTTTGTTGACTTTGACAGAGCAAAAGGCCGCCTTAAAGGGCTTCCTGTAATATACAGTGTGTCTTGTGCACACATCAAAAATCCAAGAAGATTTCTGGAAAAATGCATAGTAGCTATTTCTGTGTTGCCTTTTCATCTTTTTGGGGATCCAAGGGGCCTAGAATTTTCCAGAGAGGGAGAATTATGAGATAGTGGGAAGTGAGATTGCTCCATCTTTTTCTGGGCAGAAGGAGGACAGGGAAAATGTACTGTCCAGAGCCTACAAGAAAGGAAGAAGCCACGCAATCTATACACTGCTGCCCGGCACCAGCTGCTTCCCTTTCCTTCTGTTGCCTTTGAGACAGGCTTTCTGATTGCCAAGCTGGGGACTGGGGTGATCATTGACTGCCCTTGGAGCCAAATCCACTGATTGCTGGGTGGGCCACTGTGGGCCACAGCTGCCCTTGAATTAGAACTGCTGAGGTTTTCTACAAGGCAAAGCAGGACTGTGGCTACAGCAGCTATTACCCAAGCCTCAGGAGGCCAGGGAAAAAGCTACCAGACACCAACCAATAGAGGTGACCCAGATGGTAAAGCAGAGATGGGATCAAGACCAGGAAGAAAGACGTCCTCTGAGAACAGGAATTGGGGTTCTGGATGCATATCCCTTCCCTTATTCATTCTGGTGTAAAAAAAGCAAACAAACAAACCAACCCATTTTATCCATGCTTTTTGTCTTTGCAGTGAAGCCATTTCAATACCACCCCCCACCTCCAACAAAACCTCAGTATTACAATAAATAAATAAATAAACACCACCATCTAATACAGATTTTGTCCAAGACCTTTTCCACTTTTCGTGTCTTCTTTCAGACATCTTAAGAACTGGTCCCCTTCCAACACATTCTCTACCAGATCGGACAATGTCGATCATCTGTCATCAGAGCACCTCGCCTCTCTACTACAGTGTCTCACCATATGCTCTCTGGGACTGTCTGGTTCTTCAATCATTCACTCAGAATCTGATTTCCATCTAGCAATCTATTCATTTACATGGTTGCAGTCACATATATACATATGTGTGTGCATATGTGTATATATGTATATATGTATGTATATGACTGCATACATATATATCCATCCATCCATATATACATACACATACATACGAGTGCAACAATGTAAATAAACATTTTCTTCTCTTGACATATTTATATTTCTTAATGTAAATATATATATTTCTCTTGTCAGTCTGAATCAATTTATACACATTCTCCCATGTTTCTCCAAATTCCTCATAATCATTGTCTCTTACTGTACAATAATATTCCATTATATTCAAAATCATTAAAATCATAATCAACAAACATTGATTAAGCACCTAGAGTATGCCTGATGCTGGGCTAGATGCTAGAGAAACAAATATAAAGAATGAAATAATTCCTATTCTTAAGAGGACTCCATTCTATCAGGGGAGATGAGAAAAACATATAGAAGTCTGCTATATGGGGCAACTAGGTGGCACAGTGGATATAGCACCGACCCTGAAGTCAGGAGGACCTGAGTTCAAATCTGGCCTCAGACCAAACACTTAATACTTACTAGCTGTGTGACCCTGAGTAAGTCACTTAACCCCAACTGCCTTTAAAAAAAAGTAGTCTGCTGTAGTCAGGTACAATTTTGTTTGGAGGAGGGGGCAGGTGGGGATATCAGAGGGTTGTGTTTGGGCTATGCCCTGAAGGAAGAGGGGCTATAAAAGAAGGGAGAGCATTCTAGGCTAGGGGGATGACTAGTGCAAAAGCACAGAGATGGGAGATAAGGCATCATGTGTAAGGTACAGAGAGAAGGACACTCTGGCTGGACCACAGAGTACAGGAAGAATGAATAGCGGATAATGAGGCTAGAAATATGGATTGGGCAGCTAGGTGGCGCTATAGTGGATAGACAGCATTTCAGGCCTGGAGTCAGGAAGACTCATCTTCCTGAATTCAAATCCAGCCTCAGACACTTCCTAGCCATGTGATCCTGGGCAAGTCACTTCAGTTTCCTCATCTGTCAAATGAGCTGGAGAAGGAAATGGCAAACCTCTCCAGTATCTTTGCCAAAAAACCTCAAATGGGATCACAGAGTCGGCCATGACTGAAAAAAAGACTGACCGACAAAAATAAAGT